CTCAGTGCGCGCTGGGATGAGATCGACAAGGGCGACACCGACCGGCCGGATTACAGATCCAGGCTCGTCGCGCAGGAGACCAAGGCGCAGAGCACCATCGCCGGGGGCGACATCGGCGCGGTGTTTGCGGCGACCCCGCCGCTAGAGTGCCTTCGGCTCATCTGCAGCATGGCGATGTCGAGCGACCCGTCCGAGGGCCGCGTGCTGCGCTTCCTGGGCATCTCGCGGGCACGCCCGCACTGTGAGATCAAGAGGACGGTCTACATCAAGCTTCCAGAGGAGGATCCGATGTCGCAGGAGATCGGCACGTGTGGGCCCCTGCGGATGGCGCTCTACGGGGCGCGCGACGCTGGCCAGAACTTCGAGCTCGCGACTGCCGAGACGGTCATCGGTGCTGGTTGTGACCAGTCGGCCTTCTCGCCTTGCGTGTACTGCCACAAGGACCTTCAGGTGAGCTTCTTCCACCACGGCGACGACTTCGTGCTCGAGGGCTCTCGGGGCGGGACGGAGTCGATCTGCGAGGCCCTGAAGCCGAAGTTCATCGTGAAGGACAGGGGCGTGCTCGGGCCGGCGCCTACCGACGCAAAGGAGATCACGTGCCTCAACAGGGCAGTGCGCTGGCGAGACCGATGGTGCCAAGGGGGCGAGGCCATCGAGTACGAGGCGGATCCCAGGCACGCGCAGATTTTGCACGCGCAGCTTGGAATGGGCCCCCGCACCACGAAGTCATTGAGCACGCCAGGGCTGAGCCAGAAGCTTACACCTGAGGTCGAGCGCGAGCTGAACGAGCACGAGGCGGCAGAGTACCGCAGTGCGTGCATGAGGCTGGGCTACTTGGCGCTCGACCGGCCAGAGGTGCAGTTCACAGCCAAGGAGTGCGCTCGCGGCATGCAGAAGCCGACAGAGCGACACCTCCGCCTCCTGAAGCGCGCTGGACGCATCTTGATCGGGGCGCCGCGGGCCATCTGGAAGTGGGGCCTACAGCGGGCACCCGCAGTGATGGACATCTACTCGGACACCGATTGGGCAGGCTGCCCGATCACGCGGAGGAGCACCAGTTCAGTCGTGATCAAACATGGTCAGCACCTGATCGTGACGGCATCGACGACTCTGATCCCCATCTCCATGAGTTCGGGGGAGGCTGAGTTCTACGGCTGTGTGCGAGCGGCCAGCAGGGCCATCGGCATGCAGTCACTGTGCCAGGGCCTAGGCAGGGACGTAAGCCTTCGCATCTGGAGCGACTCGGCAGCTGCTCATGGCATCATTCAACGACGAGGCTGCGGCAAAGTCCGACACCTCGAGACGCCGACGCTGTGGGTGCAGAAGGCACTCAAAGACGGACGGTTTCAACTGGCAAAGGTTCCCGGGAAGTCGAACCCGGCGGACCTGGGGACGAAGTTCCTCGACCAGGCGGCGATGCTCCGAGGGCTGAATATGATGAATGTCGAGCTCTCGGACGCGCCCCTCTCGAGTGCCCTTCAGGCGAAGGTCTGAACCAGAGGCACGAGCGGCCATTTTGGCCAGGCCATTTCGGCCTGCAGTCTTTCGCTCCGCGCTGTCATTGCCTTGGACGGGCTACGGCCGTCAGCGCGGCCATTGCGTGTACTTTGATTGCGGTGCTCGACCAACGCCGTGGTCCAGGGCGCTGTGCACTGACAATGAGTTTCGGAACTTTTCAGGATTCGAGTATCGTGCCTGGCTGAAGAGCTGGGCGGCACGAAGGGGGCTGCAGGAATCCAGAGACCCCCAGCAGGTTTACTGTGAGAGATCATGCCATTGCTGGTATGGCTCAAGGCAAGCATCCGAAGAAAAGATCTCGCCAGTCCAGCTGACCCCGGAATGCCCGGACTGACCCCGGACTGACCCCAGACTGACCCCAGAATACCCGGGCTGACCCGAACTGACCATGGATGCCGGCAAGGGTTTCCGGTATTGGTAAGGCGGATGCACCACACGGTAATTGTAAAGATGTCTGAGTTACCAGCGAAGGGATGGAGGTCAGGGGCCACGTTGGGGGATAGGAACAGGCTGAGGGGTGGACGGATCGACCCCCGATCGCCCATACATCGCCGATATAGGAGCCCGATAGCCCACCCCGCCCAGGGACGTGCAGTTTGGCTGTCGGGGCTCCATCGCCGATGTGGCGGCGATGCATCGCCGCTTCCAGGTCGACGATTCCCTTCTGCCGTTCCCCCTCATGGAAGGGGGGGGAAGCTGGATGCTATCTCTCCCCCTCATTCCCCGAGTCCCCCCCCCAAGGAATGTGGCCGCTTGGCGAAAGAGGGAGGCTGGGGGATGCACCCCCAGGGGGCTGTTCGGACGCAGCACGATCGAGGTGGGACGCCACCTTACGTACAGTGGCGTTTTCAATACATGCTCCGCGTGCGGATCATGAGTTATAAATTATCCCAGTGCGACCTTACCTAGAAGTTGGAGCCTCTAGGACAACAACATCAGTAGGAACGGTAAACGCCGTCCTCCTCTTTCTCCTCATCGTCGTAGCTGTAGCAGTAGCAGTAGCAGTAGTAGTAGCAGTAGCAGTAGTAGTAGTAGTAGTAGTAGTAGTAGTAGTAGTAGTAGTAGTAGTAGCAGTAGTAGTAGTAGTAGTAGTAGTTGTTGTTGTTAGTAGTTGTTCGTAGTAGTAGTAGTAGTAGTAGTAGTAGTAGTAGTAGTTGTTGTTGTTAGTAGTTGTTCGTAGTAGTAGTAGTAGTAGTAGTAGTAGTAGTAGTAGTAGTAGTAGTAGTAGTAGTAGTAGTAGTAGTAGTAGTAGTAGTAGTAGTAGTAGTAGTAGTAGTAGTAGTAGTAGTAGTAGTAGTAGTAGTAGTAGTAGTTAGTAGTAGTAGTAGTAGTAGTAGTAGTAGTAGTAGTAGTAGTAGTAGTAGTAGTAGTAGTAGTAGTCGTAGTAGTAGTAGGTAGTAGTAGTAGTGGTAGTAGTGGTGGTGGTGGTGGTGGCGGTGGTGTGGTGGTGTGGTGGGTGGTGTGGTGGTGGTGTGGTGGTGGTGTGTGGTGGTGGTAGTAGTAGTAGTAGTAGTAGTCGTAGTCGTAGTCGTAGTAGTAGTAGTAGTAGGTAGTAGTAGTAGTAGTAGTAGTAGTCGTAGTCGTAGTCGTAGTAGTAGTAGTAGTCGTAGTCGTAGTCGTAGTCGTAGTCGTAGTCGTAGTCGTAGTCGTAGTAGTCGTAGTAGTCGTAGTAGTCGTAGTCGTAGTAGTCGTAGTAGTAGTAGTGGCGCCAGAACCGCCGACGCCACGCCGTAAGTGAAGCAGCAGCAGAAGCAGGCAGCAAGTCGCCGAGACAGCAGCAACAGTGGATGCTGTGGTGCGCTATGCTATGCTATTATATGCTATGCTATGCTATGCTATGCTATGCTATGCTGCGCAATGTCATGCTGGGCTAGGCTAGGCGAGGCTATTATATGCTATGCTATGCTATGCTGCGCTATGCTATGCTGCGCTATGCTATGCTATGCTTTGCTTTGCTTTGCCTTCGCTTGTGCCTTCACTTTTGCCTTTGCTTTTGCTTTTGCTTGGCGCCCAGGGAGCGCAACTGGGGGAACCGCGCGTTTGCTTTTACCTTTGCTGTTGCCTTTGCTTGGCTCCCAGGTGACCGGGGCAACCGCCCGGGGCGATTTCCACTGCCCGGCCCTTTAAGCAAAGAGAGTAAGAACCCTTCTAGGCAGAGCCTAGGTAGGGAATAAAGGGATTGAATATTAAAGACAATTATGAATGTTTGCATTGATTTATTAGTAAATTAATCACGTATTAATAATCCAGTGTATTAAACATCCTATGTATTTAAACTGCCCCGTACCGTCTGTCTCAGAGTTGGGCCCCGAGTTGCTGGTCCGGGCGGAAACCGTATTACAGCGCCGGCGAGTAGGGCCGCCCTGCCCCCCCTTACCGAAGGCGGAGTGCAGGGTGCTTCTTCTTTGTGAAGTTGTACACCAGGAGGGCAAAAACACACAGACACGATGAATCGTCGATTCCCTCACAACTATGGGGAACTATGGGGAAGTGGAGGGGGAGACGAAAGTCCCAACAAAAGTATCAAAGATGGGGGATCCTGGGAGTTGTGTGCATTCGCGTTCCATTCTACATGCCCATCCCGTTGCTGTCGTGCTGTGTTGTCGGCTGCGCTGCCGCGCGAATCCGCCCCCCCGCGCTCCGGCTCCGGCGGGCGCCTGGGGGGGAGGTGCCATGTTGCTGAAACAAAGGAAATTCCAGAAATTATTGTTTTATCAAGGTGGGACTCCTACTACCGATCCTCTTCCTCGAGCCCCATCAAGACTTCGGGGTCACATGCAAAGCTGTGTCGGCAATGCTGTTGAACTCCCAGCCTAGACTTTGATGTTGGCAAAGCTTCCGCCCAAAGACCACTGCATCCCATCGTCGGCTTGGTATCCCCCTGCATCCCCCTCTTTGATGCTTGGTTGAGGGGCAGGAGGAGGATGTAGAGGAAGGGAGAAGGATGTCGTATGTGGGTTCCACCGCAGATTGTGATGGGTGGTCCGCTCAAGAGTGCAGGGACGGGGTCCGTGAAAACGGACGCAAGTAGGGCTCGATGCGTCGGTGGAGCTTCACTTGTGCGTCTCCAGAGGCGCAGCCAACAAACAGGCATGGGCCTGGCACCCACACGCACACACAACCACAGACACAGACGCGCACACACGAGCACACACACATACACACACACACACACGCGCACGCACGCACGAACGCACGCACGCACGCACGCACGCACGCACGCACGCACGCACGCTCACACACACACACACACACACACACACTTCAACACCTACGTACACGCAAACACCTACACCTTCACCTACACCTACACACACCTACACACACCTTCACACCTACACACAAGCACACATACATTCGCACACACAAACACACACACACACACACACGCACACACACACACCAACCGCTGCAATTGCTGTGCTGGTATCCATGAGCACCTTCGTCTGCACCCAGAACCACCGCCGATGCAAGCTGCCGAGGCTCGGATTCCTCATTGGTGGCCAGATCCTGAACCTCGAGCCGAAAGACTACGTGCGCCTGGGGGCTGCGCGCATCCAGCCAGGGGAAGCATTCTCTGGGCTGCCATGATACTGGTAGTGAGGTGGTGTGGGGAGGGGTGCGGAGAGTCTTTCGTGTGCCTCTGGGCGTGGGGAGCTGGGCCGCGTATGGAGCGCGGTGTCGGCGCGCGGTGGGGGGGACCCGAACGGGGTGCTCCGAAGACAGGCGAGGCCTCATAAAGCGTACGGCTTCGGCAGCCCGCGCGGATCTCTCGGAGCGGCGCCGGACCCCCCCTGGCGCCGCTTCCGGCGCCGCGCGTGGCGCGCGGAGCGCGCCAGGCAGGGGGGGGTCCAGCGCATATCCGGGCAATCCGCGCGGAGCTCCGAAAGTTTGTGGTCGTGTATTCTTTCGTTTCTTCGGCGGCTGCTGCGTCGGCATGGACGAACAGGGTACGGCGAGAAGGGGGACGAGGACCGGCATCGGCTCCTGTCCGTTTTGAGCAGGACGTGGTGCCGGTGATTCCGTCGATGTTCTCCTGCTGAGGCAGAAGGTCATCTGGCCAGAAGCGGTCGCTGTCGGTTTGGTGGAACAGCACTTGTTGTTCGGCATCGCGTTCTCTCTTGTCCCGTACCCATAGTCCGGCGTGCCAAGATAAATTCGAGTGTGATGTGTCCACAGAATCTCCGACTGCGGTTGTTGTTTTGCGCATGCCGATGGTCGCGGCAATCGCTGTAGCATGGGTGCAATTGCGTTTTGTGGGCGATGGGCAATCGAGGTTGTGTCGTTTGCGTGGCGAGGGGATGCTGTACGTCATAGTTGGGGCGAGTGTGAATGAGCAGAGTATGGGAATAGTGAGGTATCTTGGCTGGGTTCCTGGCAGACGCCGAGTGCGAATTAGTAAGCAATGCGTCGGAAGTCCAAATGTTGAGGTCTCGTGTGAGTCGTGGGCGAGGACATCTGAACAGTTGCGCGAGGATGCTGTCGGTGTTGCACGGGACGGGTCATCGATCGGCATGATTTGTCCCGGATTCAGAACGCAGCAATGACAACATTCACAAGCAGACATTGTCCACAGTACACACTGTTCGCCGCTGGCGTGGACCCCTGGATGGTGAGCTCATGCACCGGAGCCGAAGCTACGCGGTGTCAGCTCAGCGCACCAGGCGACCACGAGGGGGCAGGGGCGGCAACGTGGCGCAGCCTCGACCGATACACCCAGCTCACTGGGCGACCACGCGCGCCCACGAGGCGGCACGGGGAAGCACCGTGGCTTAACCTCGGCCAACCTGTCCAGTTCTTTCATGTAGCCGCTGCTGCGATGTCAACAATTCAGGGTCGGTGTTTGCCCTTGGTCGTTCAGATTGGCGCCGTCGCCTCAGCGCCGGCTGCATTCCTGGATCAGGTTCATTCCTCGTCATTGCCGCCTCCCTCCTTTCCCCTCTCTGTCCTCCTCCTCCTCCTCCTCCTTCTCCTCCTCCTTCTCCTCCTCCTCCTCCTCCTCCTCCTCCTCCTCCTCCTCCTGGTCTGCTTAGTCAGACGTTTTGGTGCCTGGCGTAGATGTGTGGGTGCAGGCAGAGTGGCCGTGTTTCGAAGCAGCGCGTGCCACTAGTTTTATTTCTGGGATTTCCTTGTAGCATTGTATGCGCCCTGCTTCTGCGCACTATTGCGCCTAACTGTGTCGGCCTGGCACACTGGCGGGATCTCTCCTTCTGCCTTCATGGGCCGTCGCATCATCATCATCATCACCACCATCACCATCAGCATCATGATCACGATGAGCATCATCATCATCATCATCATCATCATCATCATCATCATCATCATCATCATCATCATCATCGGCATCACCACCACGATCATCAGTATCAGCATCAGCATCATCACCATCATAATCATGATATTATCATGATATCAGCATCATCATTACCACCACCAGCATCGTAGCCGCTCTGGTCCAGGCGCATGCCGACTCGGGGGCCATCGGGCCGCCCGCGCGGTCCCCACCTCGCTCCATCGTTCCTCTGCCTGCGGTGCCGCCCCCCTGCTCGGCGATGGTCTCTGCCTCGCGCCCTCGCTGGATCGTGCAGCAGCTGCCGGATGGGCGCGCATGTCGGGTGAAGCTGAACACTCAAAATGATTCGAATGGCTAAGAGGTTAAAATTCTGGCTTTGCCCTGGTCCGAATTCCGGCTTAATCTGGGCTGACTCCCGCTGAATCCGGCTGCATGCCGCTCAATCCGGCTCAATCCCGTTTCATCCCGCTGAATCCGCGGCCTGATTTGGCGTAGCAGCCCCCAAATGGGGCTCAATCCTCCTTACTTCGTCCGACGAAAACTTCCCAGTGGTTGCCTTCTAAAAATGACGCGGTGGTTCTGCACTTGGTGCTGCTCGAGGCCATCGGTGCGCAGGCGCTTTCTTTGCGATCGATTTGCTGCAGCGCTGTGCAGCGAGCATTCTTCAGTGTGTTGTGGCGGACCATGGGCACAGAAGATCTTCAGATGATTCTTACTTCAGTTTCCTGATCAGGCCTGCCCCACCCCGTAGAGCAGGCCATTGGTCATGACGGTGGCGGCCCTGGTGATGGCCTCGATGACGTTGGTGGTGATGGTGGTCCCCATCATGGCAAAGGTCGGCGTCGCCGACATTTCGTAGGACCTGGTGCTCCTGTGCGGCCTCAGACACATGGCACTGATCCGTGGCACTCTGGTGCTGGTGATCCCTGGTCCTCAATTGGGCCTTCGCACAAAGCCTTTCGACTACCTGATGATGGTCTGCCGACAGTGCCGCCATTCTTCTTCAGCGCCGATGCGATTGTGTTCCAGCCTGGCCCCTGTCCTCTTGCTGCTGGAACTCATATTCGTGCTGGAGTTGGCCGTCGTAGTGATGAACAAATTGATGCCCGGTCTCGGAGCGGAGACGTTGATAGGGGGCGGGGGTTGTGGTGTGCATCTTGGCGGACTTTCTCTTCCTGCTGCAGGTGGGCGACGTGGTAAGGATCGTGCTGTTGCCGGGCCTGGTGGTGTTCAACCTGTTGGGCTGCAGCTTCCTGATGAAGTTGATCGTCGTATGATGATCATGTTTCTTCCGAGCTTCGTGGAGGACGCGTTTGCTCTGAAACCGATCGTGGCTCGTCGATACACTTAGCGCCTCCCAGAAGTATCCGGCATGTTCGCTTCTCTCTGATGAAGAAGACGCGGACGGAGACGTCATGCATATTGAAAGACACCCTTGGCCCCAGATGATGGAAGCGCACTTTTACCGAAGCAAGCACTCTACCAGCGCGCGCCCGCTTCTGGGCGTCTCACTATTTCACCGTTGTGTTCATCTTGCGGAACTCCTTCCTGCCGGAGCCAGTCGTCGTTGTGAGTTTCGTGTTGGTGCGGGGCCCCGTGGTGAAGACAAATGTGCTGGTGACGTGCTTTCTGAGAGTCCACAATTCCCATAGGTGGCGGACATTGTTATGGTAGTTTTTGTCCGCGAGCCGGCCTGGAGAAGTGTGCCTGCCTTTGGTGGTGGTATACTTGTTTGCTTGCATGTGCTGTGTGTGCCACTGGACTGCGTCCTCGACGTTTTTCGCGTGGTGATGGTGGTGGTGGTGATGATGCTTTTCCTGCCGATCGACTTGATGATGCTGAGCGCGTCTTCCTGCTGGATCTCACCTTTTGGTTGGCGCTCATCGTCGCGGTGATGATCAAACTGGAACCGAGCCTCGGAGTGGCAACTTTGCTGCTGGAGCCGATTGCGATCTGCACCCTGATGGGACTGTTCTTCCTGCTGGGGGCGATCGTCGTGGTGAGGACCGTGCTGGCGCCAAGCCTCGCGGTGTTCAGCCTGCTGGGCCTCGTCTTCCTGCCAGGGCCGATCGTCCAGGTGAGGATCGCGCTAAGTCCGAACCTTTTTGGGAGGAAAAATTGTGTCGGAGGTGATGCAGCCTTTCATGCCGATCATGTTTGTGAAACGGATCTTCCTCCCGTCCCTGAATGTGCTGTTCGTCGTGCGGCCCGCTTGCGGGAGGCCGCTCGCGATGGTAAGGCTTATGACGGCGCGGGAGATAGGAGGCCTCTGAGGCCCTGTCTGATGTCCCCGCTTTCCCCAGCCTGGCGGAGTCTGGCGCCTACTCCTCTTCCTCATGTGTTGCTGACGTGATCGGCGCGAAGAACAGTTCCTTTCGAAATGTCGTGACTTCGCGGTCAACTGTGGCAGAGCTCGAATTGAGTCTCGGGCCCGATCTTCTCGCATGCTGCTGGTTTTCGCGGTCCTAAGGTGGTGCGCAAGAAGAGACGATACGCGCTGGTACACATGTTCTCCTTCGCGCGAGAGACCGCAGCCAGAGAGCGATCCGTAAGTCCCCAAAGTGTCCGCGCTGCAAGTGCAGAGCGGGGGGGGAACATCACCACTTCATCAGCACCCGCGTCAAAATCATTATCATCGCCATTCCTCGTCCTCCTCCTCCTCCTCCTCCTCCTCCTTCTCCTCCTCCTCCTCCTCCTCCTCCTCCTCCTCCTCCCCCTCCTCCTCCTCCTCCTCCTCCTCTTCCTCCTGGCGGCGCGTGCTGCTTCCTGCCGCCCTCCCCTCGCGTCACGGCCCGCCGGCGCCTCGGCCGGCGCGGGCCGCCGCCCCCGCGTCTGCCGCCGCGGCGGCAGGCGCAGGCCCCCGGCGCGCCCCCTCGGATCGGGCTCTGTCGTGCATCGTGTTGTGGAGGACGCTCAGTGGAGAGGAAGCACGTCGAAGACCGATTTCTGACCACATCCACCTCTGGATCCTCGATCCTATGATAGGCCCTCGGGGATGGAAGTGGGTAGTTTTTCCTTCCCCTGGGGCGGGGAAACTGCCCACCTCCACCTCTGGAAACCGCTTTTCGCAAGACACCTCGGGAAGTGGGTGTGGTCAGAAATCGGTCTCCTAGCACGGTTGCCAAATGATTTCCAGGCGCCTCAAGCAATGCCTCACACATTTTTCAGTATGAAAAATCTGAGTGGAAACATGTTTTGAAGATTTTGTACACAGTTTAAACACATCTCTAATTCAATGATAGGATTGTGAGAGTGTCCATCGTCACGGTATCCACAAGCATCGTGCTTCGGGTGCTCTGGTGCGATCCTGCGGAACGGCTTCCTCTCGGTGGGGCTGCAGCCGGTCGTGCTGGAGTTTCCGGCGCGCACTTCGCTGGACCATTGCCAGCAGAATACGCAATAACGAGGCCCACATCTGAAGCGTTTTCTGCCCCGTGGCGATTGGACCACCGCATCTTCCTAACCTTGGTGGTGGTGGTGGCCCCGATGGTTGTGGTGATGACTTTCATGATGGTGACTCTCCTCGTGGCCCTGCTTGGCGCCGCGGTCGCGGTCTGCAGCACGAATTTGGTGGCCCCGATGGCTGTGGTGATGACTTTCATGATGGTGTCTCTCCTCGTGGCCCTGCTTGGCGCCGCGGTGTCGATCCGCAGCACGAATTTGGTTGGGACCCTTGGCCCTCTGCTGCTGGTGGTCCTGCTCGCCGTGCTGGACGTTCCTGACACGGGCCTGCTACGAAGCGTCCTCGAATGCGTGCCGATGGCGCTGTTGATGCTCCTCCCGAGGTTCCCTCCTTCCCACTCGGGGCCGTTGCCGTCCATGGTTTTACGGAGGGGGGGTCTGTACAGGAGGGTGGGCAGGGGCAAAAGCCAAAAGCCAGGGCCGGCGGGGCAGTTCAAACACATCGGAAACGAGTTGTTGGTCAGATGTCTTCACCCAGGCAGTCAACAATATTTCAGACGTTTCGCGTAGCCCCGCCAGCAGTTCTCTTGCGGCCCGCTATCCCTCGCAGGGTTGCCTCTCGCTGCGGTCACGGGACACCGCACTGCCAGCCAATTATCGCCATTTTGACGTGCACCGCCGGCGGCTTCGCTGCCGATGGCACCCGCCCTGTGAGCGCCGCGCAGCACGCCCCGGCTTGTCTCACCTCCCGCTGTTCTCTCGTTGTGTTTCTTCTCTTCACTCTTGTGCGAATTTGGACATCCGCTGGTTAGCGGTTGTTCTGGACGGCGCGCGGCCTTTCAGCTTGCGCTCCCGATCAAAACGTAGCCCCGCCAGTCCATCCAGAAGCGATGCCCAGGCGAGTTGCCCTGATCACGTGCGCGGGCGCAGGTAAGTAAAGGGCAATGGCAAACCGACGTACCCCAAGAGGGGGAGGAGAGAGGTGGAACGGGAAGAGGGAGAAAAGGAACATGCGGATTAGGAAAAGGCGCAGGATGATGATGACGATGGTGATGACGAGGAGGAGGATGAGAAGGAAGAGGAAACGCAGGAACAAGAGGATTAGCAGAATGGCCAGCGGCCTAAGCTTTTGGGAGTTCTCTTGGGGCGTCGTTGGTGCCCCTTGGCAGTCACGGGGGCCTTTTGGAGCGTCTTGGGGGCCTGTTGGGTACCTTTTTGGGTCCTCTTGGGGAATCCTGGGGGCGTCATGAGAACATGTTGGGGCACTTCAGGGAGCGTCCAGGGCCGCTCCAGCGCCATTTCGAAGGAGCTCGATCAGAGAAAGGGTGGCTATCCTCCAGTCATTTAGGGGAAGTGCGTTGGGGTGCCCAGTTCCGAGTCTACGTTCGGCGCCTTCGTACTTCATGTTTCTACCCACGGGTGCCATGTTAGCGCCCCCCCCCCCAAGAACCAACAACGGCCCGAAACTTAGGCAACGTCTGTGATGTGGTCCTTCTCCCCGAAGCCGTATTGGACGTTCCACTCGGTCGCGGGGCGGTCGGGGGAGGGACCCCCCCCGAGGGGGAAGCAGGGGGACTGCAAGGGGAATTGCTGGAGCCCAGCGGGCTGGTAGGATTGTTGAGATCTTGTTTGTCCACAGGGGCTGTGGCGTGCCATGTTTTACGTTTGGCTCTTGATTTGCCACATGCTACCAAATGTTGAACAACACATGTGGGAGCGACTCGCGCTACGTGGCGATTGGCGGATGTCCCATCGAAGCGTATGAGACCGTCATTGTACCTGGTCGTGCGCCTGGACCTGCACCTGCTCGTGACGCATCCGCTCGCGAAGCTGATCGCGAGCGCGGGGGTGCTCACGGACTTGTTTTCGACAAAGCCGTTCATGAGCGTGCTGCTGGCTCTGCTTCTCCTGCTGCTGCAGCCGAGCCCTCCGTCAGTACGGCAAGGGACTTGTGGAGCTTGGCCCCGGGGCTCCGCGGGATCGGGGAGCCTAAATTTCAGGGGCGGCAAAGAGGGGGGTGATGACTAGGGGGGTGGACAACAGGGCGTGGGCCATGATATTTCGCCAGATCTCATGGCGCCTCTTCTTGGTCCACTACGTCCCCAACCCCCCCCCCCTGGGCCGCGCACGTGCCGCTGGCCATGATTTGCACCCCCCCTTTTTGGACGCCCCCTCTTGGCCGCCCCCGAAAATTCCAGTTGGGGGGGCCCTAGATCCCAGCTCAGGTGGTCCGCAAGTTCGCGGAGCTCGTCGTAGTTTGGTGCTAGATCCTAGCTCGTCGTAGTTGGGTTTTCCCAAATCTCGTGGAGCTTCGATCCCAGCTCGCTGCCGTAGAGCGGGCGATCACTATCCAGACCTCGGTCGGCAAATATCGACTGTCCAGACTTCGGCCCAGAATTCGGTCGACAACGACTTGAAGTTCGCCATCGATTCGGCTCAGTCGTAGGTTGCGCCCACTCAGGTGTCAAGCAAAGCCGGTGACGGCAAGACCTGAGTAAGTCACATCATCTCCACCAACATCACCATCACCAGTGTCATCAGCAGCATCACCATCATCTCTATCATCACCATCGAATTGCAATCACCATCAGCATCGTCATTATCGTAATCAGCATCAACATGACCATCACCGTCAGCATCAGCATCATCACTACCGCAGTGAAAGTAGGTGTTTCGCCGTTTGTATATCAACCTCCTGCTGACAACCTCTCAGACTCAGTAGATCTCCCATATCCTTGATCGTCTACCCCGATCCGATGTTGTCCCGTTCTTTTCTTTGTTTCGCGGCCAGGCCGCGCCCTCAAAGCCCCCCCCATCCTCTGGACGGCATCGGCTTCCCCGTTACCCGCCGGCACGGGAAGGGGCGCGAGGTCGATCAGTCTCCGGACGGCTGCCAGGCCGGCGGCGGGGGGGAGGGGACAACGGGGGATGAAAGGAAAGAGGAGGCAGGGCCGCTTACGATCCGCTCGGACGCGATTCGATTCGCCAGTTGGGGCCGCGATTCCCATCCGATCCAAGCTTGTTCGTATCGCTGGCATCGCCCAGAGCCAGTTGGAGCCGAGCGCAGCGATCTGATCTCGATTCGATTCGGGACGATTCGTTGGCGATGCGATCCGCTCCCGATCCGATACGACTTTGCAACCTGGCCGAGCTCAGGCTCAGGAGGGTGCCGACACTGCAGCTCGTCCTTCACCACCCACCAAACCACCCCAACCCAACCCGAAGGCCCAAATTTATCCTCGATTTCCAGTGGGGGGGGGTCGGGGAACGTTGAAAAAACACATGGTATCCGTACCCCCCCCCAACCCGAAATTCGGGTCAAATTCGGGTCTTCGGGTTGGGTTGGGGTGGTCTGGTAGGTAGTCAGTCCTAAGGTATCGTTGTCATCTTCTGGCGCGTAACGGTCGCCACCTGGGTCAAACCCTCTCCCCAAGGTAACAGCCACGATCGTGCTGCATAGTTGCGCGTTGTGGGCTGGGTGCCCGCCCTCCATATGCGAGGGCGCTCGCGCGCATCTCATGGCGGTTGCAGCGCACCCCCGTCCCGACGGGCCCAACCCGCCCAAGCGTTACCCTTACCAGCCTCCCCTCCCCCCGTGGGTGAGGACCGTGACTGGAAACAACAGAAGAATCTGGAGAGCCCTCGTCACCACGATATGATTATCTTCGAAAGTGTTGTCAGAATGCGCCCAAGGAGTTGTCCAGGGAGTCAAGGTACCCCTACCCTCTAATCCCCCAGCGTATGGTGGCGAGGGGACCGTGGCGTGGAAGAGTGAGTGGGAATCGGAGGGGTAGAAGGGAGATGGGAGCAGGAGAAAGGAGAGGGAGGGGACAAACTAGATGCCCTCGCAGAATATCTGACGTCCTACCCCTCCCACCAATCCCTTCCCATTGCGCTGTTTTTCAATGTCCGCCGACGGGTATCATAGGGGGCTTGCAACTCCCAAAAGGAGCCCACTGTGTCATGAGCAATCACAGCATTAGAGCTGCGTACATCGGAGGAGGAGGTGGCGAATGAACAGGAGGGTGAGCATGAGGGAGAGGAAGATGAGGAAGGAGGAAAACGAGGAAGAACAGCAGCAGCATGAGCAGGGTTGGGAGAAGCGGGAGGAGCAGGATGACCAGGGGAGGGGAAGGGAGCGGGGCAACCTCGATGAGGACGCACACGGACCCAGAATTGCGGCCCGCGCTGGAACAAGAGCGTCGTTCTGAATGATAAGCGATTGGAGCAAAGTGTTGATTTGAAATTGAGGCCAACGCTGCAGCGGGAACACCATCTTGAGACATCGAAGCCGGTCCGATATAGTAAGCCATGTGGAAAGCCAATTTTAGAGGCTTCGCATACCCCCACCAGCCGATCCAGAACCACGCCCAGGCAAGTTGCCCTCATCATGGATGTGTGGGATAATGAGCAACATTTGGCAACACGTCATACCCCAAGAGGGGGAGGACGGAGGAGGAATCGGAAAAGCAGGAGGATGAGGAGGAGGAGGAGGGTGGGAGGAGGGTGGAGGAGGAGGAGGAGGAAAAGGGAGGAGGGAAGGGAGAAGGCGGTGGAGGAGGAGGAGAAGGGAGGGGGAAGGGAGAGGATGGAGGAAGGAGCAGGAATAGTCGGCTGAGGCAAAGGAGGAGTAGTAGGAGGAGGAGGAGGGCGAGCAAACAGTCCAGAGGCCTCATGATGCCTTTTCGGAGTCTCATCGGATTTCTTTTGAGTGTTTGTTGGAGTCCTCTTGGGGCGTCTTGGAGGTTTCTTGGCAGTCCCGGTGGCCTCTTGGGGCGTCTTGGGTGCCTCTGGGGGGCCTCTTGGGGCCTCTTGGGAATTCTTGGGAGCCTCTCGGAGGCATCTTGGGAGCGTCTTGGGGGTCTTTGAGGCCTCCTGGGCACCTTTCTGGGCCGTATTGGGGCACCCTTGGGAGCCTCGGGGGCCATCGGTGGGCCGTCTTGGAGGAGATCGATAAAAGGACGCGCCATACGAAATCATGACGCACCCAGGGGGCCAACGTGTGGCTCCAATCTTATAAAATAAATGATTTGGGGGTTTCTCGCCGAGGTTTCTTGAGGCGTCTTCCGTCTTGGGTGCCTCTGATGGGGGCCCCTTGGAGCGGCCTGGAGGTCTCTTGGGAGCCTCTTGGGGGCAACCTGGGAGCGTCTTGGGGGGGCCTCTTGGGGCCTTTGGGCTGGGCGCCTCTTGGGGCAGTCTCGGGGCACCCCTGGGTGCCTCGGGTGCCATTTTGAGGCCATCCTGGAGGAGATCGATCAAAGGTCGGACTGTACTGAATTAGCGGCGTCCCCCCGGGAGACCAACAGGTGGCCAACATCTCAGTACATCAATGATTTTGCTTACTCGCCGAGGCCATCTTGGACGCTTCAACCTCCAACTGGAAGGCCCCGTCCAGACCCAGGGGGAGAGGGTTGGGGGTGGGGTCAAGACACCCACCCGCCCGCACGCCGTCTAGTTCACTCCCGCCCTCCCTACACATACGAAACTAACACCCGGGCCTCATCATGTTCAGCGATCGTCTTTGGATGGACAGCTTCTTGGATCCAGAACCAAGCCCATGTGTGCGACGCTGGCTCGATCCGATCCGATCTCGACCTCCTGGCAGCCCGGAGTGGCCCGATGCCTGCGCAGCGCATCTGCCCACCCGGGCGCAGCCGTTTCGATTCTGGCCCGTTGCGGCCCCAGCCGACGCAGGCTCCGGCTCCTCCTCATCCTCATCCTCTTCCTCCTGCTCTTCTTCTTCCCTCCTCCCTCCTTTCCTCCTCCTCCTCCTTCTCCTCCTCCTCTCCCCTCCTCCCTCCTCCTCCCTCCTCCTCCTCCCCCTCCTCCTCCTCCTCCTCCTCCTCCTCCTCCTCCTCCTCCTCCTTCCTCCTCCCTCCTCCTCCTCCTCCAGCTCCTCCCTCCTTCTCCTCCTCCTCTTCCCTCTCCTCCTCCTCCTCCTCCTCCTTCTCCTCCTCCTCCTCCTTCTCCTTCCCTCCTCCTCCTCCTCCTCCCCTCCTCCTCCTCCTCCTCCTCCTCCTCCTCCTCCTCCTCCTCCTCCTCCTCCTCCCCCTCCTCCTCCCTCCTCCCTCCTCCGCCTCCTCCTCCTCCTCCTCCTCCTCATCCTCCTCCTCCTCCTCTCCTCCTCCTCCCTTTTCCTTCTCCTCCTCCTCCACCTCCTCCTCCTCCTCCTTTCCTCCTCCTCCTCTTCCCTCTCCCTCCTCCTCCTTCCTCCTCCAGCTCCCAGCTCCTCCCTCCTCCTCCTCTATCCTCCATCTCCTCCTCCTCCTCCTCCTCTCCTCCTCCTCCTCATCATCCTCCTCCTCCTTCTCCTTCCCTCCTCCTCCCCCTCCTCATCCTTCTCTTCCTCCTCCTCCCCCTCCCCGTCCTCCTCCTCCTCCTCCTCCTCCTCCTCCTCCTCCTCCCCCTCCTCCTCCTCCTCCTCCTCCTCCACCTCCTCCTCCTCCTCCTCCTCCCTTTCCCTCCCTTTTTTTCTTCTCCTCCTCCTCCTCCATCCTCCATCTCCTCCTCCTCCTCCTCTTCCTCCTCCTCCTCCTCCTCCTCCTCCTCCTCCTCCTCCCTCCTCCAGCTCCTCCACCGCCCCCGCCAGGGGCTGTCCCCCCGCCCTGGCGTCTCGGCGCCGGAGGTGTCCCTGATGCCCCTCAACGTGCCCCCGCCCAAGGGCCCGCTCTTCGTCTTCGGGAGCGCCCCGCGCACGCGCGCGCGTGGGACCGCGGCTCGCGGGGCGGCCAGGGCGTCGGAAAGCATGCTTGGGAAGCCTGCGAGCTGAGCTTCGAAGGACCGTCTGGAGAGTTTCGGGGTACGCGTACTGGGAACGAGCAGGACAGCGCTTCTCGGGACACGCTGACGGGTCAAGCAGGGGTCGCTGCGCGAACCTGGGCCCCGCAAGTGCCGGGATGTTCGAAATTCTAGGCCGCCTAGACGGAATCCGAGCCGCATCGCCGATGCATGGCCAGTGCGGCTCGATGTGGAGCCGTATTTCCTCTGCGCTGGCCTCGGCGATGCCTCGGCGACGTTGCCGAGGCATCACCGATGCATGGGCGATGCATTGGCGATGCGGCGCGATCGTTCGACCCCATTCACTCGGACCCCATCCAGGAGGCCTCTAAAAATGGGTACGTAAATACTGTATACGAAGATCGACAGCATTTCCTGCTCACTCTAAGCAGGACTCGCTGTCGGTGTCTGTGCGGACGCTGTCTCTTTGAGACAGAAAGGCCCCTTGCCCAGCAGCGGCCGCTGTCGGTTCTAGCCAGCAGTTGTTGTTGGGCAGCGTGCCCCTGTTTTCCGTGCCCATCTCGGGCGTCCAAAAAGTGTGGCCCGCGTGGACGGGGTCGGAGGATGCAGCTCGATGGGGGTCCCGATTCCCTCCTCTCCTCTGGTCTGCCTGCAGGCCTTGCTGCCGCGGCCGCACAGGCACGTCGAACATTGAAGGCCTACGTGGCGACTCCATCATCAGGGTCGTCGAAATTATTGGAAAGAGCGCGTTCTACCGCTGCTGGCGGAAAACCGGGGGGGGGTCACTACCGGTTCGAACCCCTTCCCCCCCCCCCCTCTCCAGAAAACGGGGGGGGGTCACTACCGGTTCGAACCCCTCCCACCCCCATCTCATCATGAAAAGGGGGGGGGGTCACTACTGGTTCGAACCCCCCCCCCCTCGAGCTCGAAAACCGGGGGGGTCACTACCGGTTCGAACCCCCCCCCCTCCGAAAACCGAGGGGGGGTGCGGACAGTGGTGGGGACGGTGGTGGTGGGGACAGTGGTGAGGGGACAGCGGGACAGTGGTGGGGACAGTGGGACAGTGGTGGGGACGGTAGTGGTGGGGACAATGGTGAGGACAATGGTGGGAACAGTGGGGACAGTGGGACAGTGGTGGGGACGGTGGTGGTGGGGACAGTGGTGTGCGGACAGTGGGAAAGCGGTGGAAACAGTAGGACATTGCATGGAGGGTACAGTGGTGGTGGGGACAGTGGTGAAGGCGGTGGCGAGGACGGCGGTGGGACAATGTGACAGAGGTACAGTGGGGACAGTGGTGGGGACAGTGGGGACACTGGTGGGAACAGTGGGACAGCTCAGTGGAACAGCGGAGGAGTCAGTGGGACAGTGGGGACAGTGGGGATAGTCGTGGAGAAAGTTGGGAGAGTGGAACCGTGGTGGGAACAGTGGTGAGGACAGTGGGGACAGTGCGACAGTGGTGGTGGCACTGGTGGGGACAGTAGTGGCGGTGGTGGAACCAGTGGGGACAGCGGTGGTGAGGACAGTGGCGCTGGGAACAACAGTGGGGGATGTGGTGAGGACGGTGGTAGGGACCGGGAGTCGTTTGCTGGAGGTGAGAGGGGGGGGTGGGGAGGAGTTCGAACCGGTTGTGACCCCTCCCTCCGGTTTTCGAGGGGGGGGGGGGGTTCGAACCGGTAGTGACCCCCACCCGGTTTTCGAGTTCGACGGGGGGGGATTGGGGGGGGGGGTTGCAGGGGGAAGGGGGGGGGGTCCAGCAGGAGGGGGGGGGATTTTCTGAAAGGGGGGGGGGACCCCCGGGCTCCAGAGGAAAAGGGCGGCAATTTTCCACAGAAACGGCGGTGGATCACGCTCTCGCAATTATTGACATCATGCGCACATGCGAATTTGATATCTTATGCACTCGAGGTACGCACCTACATGGAGCAGGGTATTAGACGCGACGCGGCTACATTATTTTTCCTTCATGCGAGCTGGACTCGGAAGTCCAGTCACACGGTGGAGTGGGATTCGTGGTGGTTCCGGGAGTTTTGAAAAGCATCGTCGCGTTCAAGGCGTGCAGCTCCAGAGCGGCCTCCCTCATAATCAAAGTCATACGTGGTACGCGGAGGTTGTTTCCCAAATGTGCTCCGCACAACCGTCGTCCATATGAGGAGCGGCGCTCCTTCTACATGAATCTGTAGACGCATATTCGAGCAACCGCTGCGAACAGCACGACGTACATCATGGGAGACTTGAGCGCCAGGCTCTTGCGGGCTGGAGCCTGAGAAAAATATATCATCGGCGCCCACGCGTTTCAGTGCCCAGGTGTTGCGGACAGCATGGCGCATACTACAGCTTCAAACGGGGACCTCAAAGTGGAGTTGCCAGGTCTTGCGCCCACCAGGAAACAAAACCGAAGCTCCGACAAAATATGTTTGCATTTTTTTGAAATTTGTTTTGGTGGCGCCGAAGGATAGCGCCATCGCGCGCACGTCCCAACTTGGACTATGGGGCCAACCGCCGCCCATGAATCGCGCGAGTGTCTTAATTACCATCACTTAAGCTGTTCGAACGTTGTCATAACGCACGCATCAGATCTTGCCCCTAAGGCCCAACCGCACAGATTCAATGCGCGTGTTGCAAAAATCTCACACATCATGTGCGCAAGAAGCGGCGCTCCGCAGTGCGCCGTGACGTGAGCCGCTGCATTGCGCAACGTTGCGTGGCGTGTTTCCGCCATGACACGTGGACGCCCACGGCGTGGGCCCCGCGGCCGTGTCGCAGGCGCCTGGAGGACACCCAACCCTTGCGATCGTTGTGCCTGCTCGCAAGTCGTGCCGTCGACGGATCTTAACATCGTTCAATCTTACTCCGGCCTTTGCGATCCTTTTGCCCGGTCACGGATCGTGCCACTCGGCGAAAGTGAACATCTTAGCATCGTTATAAATTGTTTCAAACCGTCGCGAGATCTGTGCCCGGGCGCAGGTGGTGCCCCGTGGCGTATCAGAACATTGCACTTGCTCCCAACCCTCGCGCCCCTGCGCCCGCGCGCGGATCGGGACGGGGGCAGGGCGGGGAGGGGGCGCAGGGGGACAAGCCGGAGGAATGAGGGAAAAGGAGTGGCTGATAACGACGGGGATTGAACAGGAGGGCATGGGAGAACGCAAGGGTGACGAGGGCGGGGAAGGATGAGAGGGGGGGGTGAGAGGGGGATGGGGAGTAGGAGGAGGAGGCGGGGGAGGAGCAGGGCGGGGGGGGCGGCGAGGGGGAGGTGGGGGATCGCGAAGGGGAGGTGGAGGTCGTTGGCCGCGTCTACCTCCACTGGACTCATCGGAACCATCTTGCGGCGACTCTTGCTGCCCCTCAGGGCGCGCTAAGCGTTCTGCGCCCTGCAAAAGCGAGGGCGCGAACGCCATTTCCATTTTTTGTTTTGGCAGAGTGACGGGGTCCTGGGGGCGCCTGCGCTGACCGTGTCCATTATGTTTGCGGGCGCCCGTAGTGTTTTCAAACAGTTCGGGGTACTATTTGAGCCCTTGGGCAATCGCATCGCGCTTTCGATATTCTCAGGTTGTCATTTTGAGCCATGTCGGCCGTCTGCGGGGCCTCCGTGAAAAAAACGGGCGAATAACATTGGAAAGGGGCAGACGTTTGACTTTTTTTTCCGAACGTGGAATCGTTGTAATTCTGGCAATTTTTCCCCGACCTTGAGGAGGGGTTCCCGTTTAGTGTCCCCCTGGGGGGTCAGGGGGCGCGTTGGACTGTCTGGGCGCTCTCTTGGAGGCCTCTTAGGCTGTTTTGGGGCGGTCTTTGGGTGCTCTTGGGCTGTTTTTGAGCGTGGGCAAGCAGAAAAGTGGAAACCCGAGACACTTTCAAAAACCCAGCGAAAACCAATACATGTTGACACTTGGGCTCTCCGGGAGGGCCTCTCGGAGGCCCCCCGAGGCGTCCTGGAAGCTCCCCGGGCAGTCTGGGCGCGATGTTTGGGGCCTGCTGGAGGCCGCGTGGGGCCTCCGGGTGGTCTTTTTGGGCGGTGAGCTTGAAATGCCGGTTGCTGCCTCTACTCTGGAGGTTTTTTTTTGGCCGTTCCTCGAGCCTTCGGAGGCCGTCGGGCCGTCATGAGGGCGTTTTGGATTGTCTGGGCGCCTTCTTGGAGGCCTCTTAGGCCGTCTTGGGGCGGTTTTGGGCCCTCTTGGGCTGTTTTGGAGCGTCGGCAAGCCGAAGGCCCGAAAACCCGAGAAACTTTCAAACGCCCAGCGAAAACCAATACATGTTGACACTGGGGGCTCTTCGGGAGGGCCTCTCGGAAACCCCCCGAAGCGTCCTGGAAGCTCCCGGGGCCATCCGGGCGCGATCTTGGGCGGCCTGGATCGACCTGATGGCGACTCGCGGCCCTCTCGGGACATTTTGGCGACCATCTTGGGGCCGCCCTTGCCGCGCGGAAGCGTGTCTGCCGAAATGGGGCCGTCTTCCGCCGGCTTCCGCCAGCGCTCCCCCCGCGGCCGGGAGGGGGCCCCGGGCCCCCCCCCCAGACCCCCCAGGGGGGGCACTAAACGGGAACCCGCCCTCAAGGTCGGGGAAAAAGATGACGCGCAAAGGCGCCGTGTAAGAGCACGAACGCGAGCTCGACGTGCACGCTCGAACAAAACGTGCGCGCGAATCGCGGTGAACGCGCGCGTGCACGCGCGCGCGAGGGCGATGGTAGATCTTGAAGTCACAGCGCGACGCGAGCTTGCACTGCGCATTCGAATCTCGCCATACGCGCCCCTTAGAGTGATCGGAAAAACGGTGCATGGCCACCGTGGCACGGGGCGCTCGGCGCCGCTGCGCGACGTGATCGTGGAACTTAAGCCGCCCGAGCGCGGGAGGGATACCGAGGGGGGAAAGAAGGAGGCACTGGAAGAGAGAGCGAGGATGACGAGAGGGGCGGGGGGATGAAAGGGAGGAGAGGGAGGGTGACTGGGGAAGTGGGGAGTGAGAGGAGAAGACGGGGGAGGAGCATGAAAGAGATGGGACTAGGGGGAGGTGGAGGTGGTGATGGGGGAGGTTGTAGGCCGCGCCTACCTTCTCCGGGCTCTTCCGGGCCATCCTGCGGCGATTTTTGTTACCCCCGCGGCGTGCTGGGCGTTCTGCAACCTGTACAGGCGAGGGCGCGAACACCAAGTCCAGCTTCTCTTTAGTCTTAGCAGTCTGGTGGCGCCTTGGGGGCGCCTTCGTTGACCAATTGCAGCATGTTTGCGGGCGCCCGTATTGTTCTCAAGCAGTTTGGGGCACTATTGGAGCCACTGGGCGACCGCGTCAAGCTTCCGACCCGTGCAGATGATCATTTTGAGCAACGTCGGCCGTCTCTGGGAGCTCTGAATGTTTCCAGCGATGAACATTGGAAGGGTCAAATGCTGAACCTTTCTTATCGTGGGATCGTCATGACTTTGACCCTTCTTAGCGTCACGAGTGTGGTTTCTTTCCATGCTTCCGTCGACCAGCAACCCGGACCGCCACCCTCGTTGGCCTCAAGATGCATGTGGATGTCTCCTGGGCCCTTGTGGGCTCTCTTAAGCGCCTCCTGGGGCGGTGATGGGGTCCTCTTGGGCCTCAGGGGCTCTCTTGGACAGTCCTGGGGTCCGTTTGGGGCGTCGTGTCGAGGGACCTCTTGGGGGCCCGTTGGGTTGTTTGTCGGCGATCTGAAAAGGCCCCTGGGATCACATTGGGCCCTCTCGGGCTCAGCCGTACCAGAGAGCACCGCCCTATGGAACCAGACAAAATAACAACAACGGGGGGGCATCAACGTCGGCATCGTCATACCGTCTTCCCCTTGGGAAATACAGCGAGAATGCTCAAATTTTGCCCCCGCTGCTCCTCGTCTGGAACGAAGAGGAGGAGGAGGAAAAGCAGGAGGAGGTGAAGAAAAGGAAGGAAGATGAGGAGGTCGGTCGGTCGCTGAATCGGGCTTCGGGTCGAAGGATCAACTGCAACACATCTCGGATGACAAAAATCGATATGTACGACCTGCAGCGCGCGCCAAACAGATCGGAAACAGGTGCGCCCTCCCCTGGGAGCCCCGAGTTGTCTTCGCTCTACCATTTGCGGTGAGACCCTAGGAGTTTAAATCTCTCGGTGGGAGGAAGAGGAGGAGGAGGAGGAGGAGAGGAAGAGGAGGAGGATGAGGAGGAGGGGGGCGTGGAGGAGGAGGAGGAGGAGGAGGAGGAGGAGGAGGAGAGGGGAGTGGGGGAGGAGAAGGAAACGCAAATATGGATTGAGGCGTGTGGATGAGCGACGGGCCCCCGTTCCCTGCGAAACCGAAGCGTGCAACTGCCAAAGAAATTCCGAAGCGAAGTCCAATGCGAATCCGTTCCTGTGCGGGTCCGTTTCATGCAGAGTCGACGCGCCCATCCCTTGCCAAGGGAAATCCAATGCGACGTAGCGCGATAAACCGATCCATGCGAAATGGAGCGACGCGTTCCTGCGAAAGCGAGGCGCCGCTGGCCTCACATGTTTGAGGATTTTCGGGGGTGGCGTTCCCCGATATGTGGATTTGGCGCCCACGCGCTAGATCATCAGATCCCTGATCCATGTTAGCGCGTGCCCGAAAAGGGATAACGAATCCAGAGTTTCCGTTGCATCTTCGGGGGGCTTTGTCGTCCCCAAAAATTGTTGTCGCTTCCTGTGCCCGACGCAGGCTCGATGCGGACTCGACGCGGATGTGGCGCGGATTCGACGCGGATTCGACGCGGATTCGTTTCGGGTTCGACGAGTCCGGCCTGAATCCGCAACGGATTCGACGCGGATCAGGGACGCGACGGGACCGGCCTAGGCCCCCCGCAGATGCAGCACGACAGCACGACTGAGCTCTGTTCGTAGCTGTCTGCTTCCTCACACGTGGCCCTCCCGGAGGGCCCCAGGACCGAATATCAGCGGTTCGGGAGGAGCTGGATCCCCGGGGAGAGAGAAAGAGAGAGAGAGAGAGAGGGAGAGAGAGAGAGAGAGAGAGAAAAAGAGAGAGAGAGAGAGAGCACCCCCCCGGCTCAACTCCTCATCCTCCTTCTCTTCCTCTCGCTTCCCTCCTCCCTCCTCCCTCCTCCTCCTCCTCCTCCTCCTCCTCCTCCTCCTCCTCCTCCTCCACCTCCTCCTGCGGGCGCGGCGCGCGGATGGGCCCGTGCGAGGGATCCCCCAGCGCAGAGGGCGCGCCGAGGAGGAAGTAAGTAAGCTGTGGCGGCAGCCCGCCGCAGGACGCCGATGGCCGAACTCACGCGTGCGCCCCCCGGGAGGGGAGGGGCGCCCGAGCAGAAGCCGGAGGCGCGCGTGGCGGCGACTGCGCGTGGCGGCGTGCCGGCAGGCGCAGCTCGACTTCAGCCGGCGGCTGGCCCCCTCTCGCACAGCGAGCAGGTCGAGCAGTGGCTTCGAGCAGTGGCTCCAGGAGGCCGCGTGCGACGGGGGAGGGCAGGGGCAGGTGAGCCAGGCCAGCCCGTGCGAGGGCGGGACGTGGCAGCCCCAAGATTGCGAGGCGTGGGAGACGAAGGTAGAGCCCGACGTCCTCCGCTACAGCGCTGGGATCGGGGCGTGCGAGGAAGAGAAGGCGAAGCTGGAACCAACATCCCTGGCCATCTCCATAGCCTTGGGGACAGCGCGTGCGAGAAGAGGCGAAGATAAAGCCCGATACCTACAGTGCTGGGATCAGGGCGCGCGAGAATGGGCAGCGGCTGGAGGCAGAACTTCAGTAGCAGCCTCAAGAAGACGGACAGTGGCAGCTTCAAGGGTGTGGGCAGTGGCAGCCTCAAGAAGCCGAGCCACACGTCCTCAGCTACAGCGGGGCTTGCGAGAAGCGCGGCAGTACACGAGGGTCGTTGAAAGTAGGTGTTTCTGGATTCCCAGATCACAATCTACTTCAAGCGCCTTACTATTTCAAGGATCGACATGCTTTTGCTGCGTTTTGTGATTCTCTGGGAGGACCTGGGCCCAATCTGCTATATCCGCCTTCCTACTTCATGCTTCTACTTTCGTCTTCCGACCGACGTGTAACGCTTGCGAGAAGGGCGGACAGGGCCACGCGGCTCTGGCTACCACGTGCGAGAAGCTGGCGGCGAAGCTGGAGCCCGATACCATCAGCTACCACAGGAAGTAGGGGGTGAAGAACGAGCCCAACGCCATCAGCTACAGCGCTGGGAATAGGGCGCGCGGAAAAGGACGGCACGAGCAGGGCCATGTGGATGGCTCGGGCAGTAATTGCTTCGACGCGGCTAGCGGGAGGCGAAGAGAGGGAGCCCGACGTCAGCAGTGGCATCTTCAAAAAGCTCGGCAGTGGCAGCTTCAAACGGGGGCAGTGGCAGCAGCCCCTTGATGACGGACTCTGCGCGCGCGAGGAAGGCGGGCAGTGGCAGCTTCAACAAGAAGACGTACCCTGTGCGTGCGGGAAGGGCGGGCAGTGGCAGCCACAAGCGGACGGACGGGCACTGGCAGCCCCACGACGACGGACGCTGTGCGTGCGAGAAGGGCGCGCACTGCGAGAAGGACGGGCGGTGGTAGCAGGAGGCGAAGGATGAGCCTGGAAACAGCGTATGCGACAAGTGTGAGGCGAAGGTAGAGCCCAACACCATCAGTTGCAGCGTTGGGACCAAGACGTGCGAGAAGGGGCAGGCGAAGCTAGGGCCCGATATCGGCAGCTAGTGCGCTGGAGTGGGGACCGAGCAGGCGGTCGAGGGCTGGCTCACCAAGCTTTTCGGCGAGGGCGGGGTGCACGTGCGCGACGTGGTGGTCCAGCTCGAGCGCGCGACGGTGTCGACGTAGAGCTAGTCCATCGGCACGTGGGCTTCCGCCGCTTCAGGAGGGCCTTCCTCCTGCAGGGCGAGACGGTCGTCCTGCGAGCAGCTCCAGGAGGGAGCGGGCGCGAGGGCGTGGCTCCTCCTGCGCAGTACGACGGGCAGCAGCCCGCACCGCAGCACCAACCGCACGGTGACCACCAGCAGTGCCAGGACCTGCTGGAAAAGAAGAGCAAGCTCAGCACTGCTCCGCTCGCCGCAGCCAGACGCGAGGAGAGAGGGGGTGGGCCCCGGGGCCGCGGCCCCCCGAGAGGAGGCCGCCGCTGCGACGACGGCGGGCGCAGCCGAGGCAGGTCGTGAGGCCCGCGTGGGGCGAGAGGCGAAACAGCTGGAACGGCTCCTCCTCCTCCTCCTCGGCCGCCGCCGCCTCCGCCTCCGCTTCCTTCAGGGCAACGCCCTCCTTCTCCTCCTCCTCCTCCTTTTCTTTTCCTCTTCCTCCATATCCTCCTTCTCCATATCCTCCTCCTCCTCCTTCTCCTCCTCTTCCCTCAGCAAAAGTGGGTCAATCAGAGCGCCGGATCTTGCCGGATCCTGCAGAGTTTCATTGGTTTGGGCTTTGGTGCAAGACACTGCACGCTACGGCTGGCCTGGGTCTGGATTGACCCGGGCAAGCAGGTCTCGGGAGAGGGAGGCCCCAGGACCAGGTCTCGGGTGAGGGAGGCCCCAGGATGGGCCCAACACGGCCCATGGGCGCCCCGTGGTCGAAAATTGGCCTTGCCAGGCTGATCCCGGGCTCATCCAGTTGAGTTCCGCCTAATCTGGCCCACCCCCAGTTTTGTTTGGCTCACAATGGCTCTGAATCATGCTCAAGTTGGCTTTCACTTGGTCGGTCCTGCGAAGATTTCCCAGGAGTGGTCGGTTCTCTTTCGCTTTCTGTCTCTCACGCTCATCGCGGCGCCACCCCCTCGCCCTCCCGAGCGCGCGTCCCCACGAGCGCGCCGCGCAGGATCCCTTTCCTGGAGAAGTTCTACACCGTCTACGACAATGTGAACAAGCAGGTCGCCCCCCGCCGGGGCTCGAGAGGGGCGGGGCGCGAGGGAGTTTTGGGTTTCACGCTATGGGCTTGGCATCGCTCGGACGTGTGCATTTTTCCTTCGGCGAGGACCATCGAGGAGCATCATTGATCATTTGGCGAAGCCGAGCAACAGCACAGGGAGTGGACGTCCGAGCGATGGCCAGAGGGAGTTTTGGGATTCACGCTACGGGGGGACAGGCTCAGAGGGGGGACGCATCGACCGCCAACCGCCCATCCATCGCTGGTCTGTGCTCGATAGCCCCCTCTCCCGTCTGGGAGCATGCAGGTTTGCTGTCGGGTGCCTACCGCCGATTTGTCGGCGATGTCTCGGCCGTTCCAGGTGGATCTCCGCCCCCCTGAGCCAGTCCCCCATCCTCTCAGCTGTTGACACTGGACTGGTCTGCTCCTGCAGAGACATGTCCTGAAGAAAAAAACGAAGTGCCACTGGGGGGAAGTAGGAGGAGGAGGAGGAGGAGGAGGAGGACTGGGAGGAGGAGCAGGATGGGGAGGAGGAGGAGGAGGAGGAGGAGAAAAGGAGCAGGAGTAGTGGTGAGAAGGAGGTGGGCGCGAAGGGAGGACGGTGACCGAGAGGAGAAAGGAGGTGTGTGTGGGGGGGAGGCGGGGTCTATGTTTACGTGCCCTTCCGTCCACCGTCTGGTTCGTTGATACTGTTTCCACCCTTTTGTAGAGCGCCAGCAGGGCGCAGTAATCACCCATTGGTGGACGGTTTAAACGGTCGACTCCTCTTTGCCCTTGCTTCTCTGCGCATGGTTTGCTCGCTTCGCGTATCCCCACGAGCCTTCCAGAAACGATGCCCAGGCTAGTTGCGTTGACCATGACAGAGTCGTCGCACGCAGTGAACCAAGTTTGGGATCAACCTGGTCAGACCCAGGACGAGGACGAAATCGAGGAGGAGGACGAGGAGGACGAGGACGAGAAGACTAGGAGGAGAAGAAGAAGGGGGGCGACGATGACGAGGACAAGGACGAAGGAGGATTAGTGAGATCAGTTGGAGGAGGACGAGGACGAGGAAGAGGAGGAGGAGGAGGAGGAGGAGGAGGAGGAGGAGGAGGAGGAGGGGGAGGGGGAGGAAGACGAAGACTCTGTCAGCCGCCTTGGGGTCTCTTGGAGGCCCTCTTCGGGTTCTCTTGGGGGCACTCACGGCTCTGTTGGGGCCCTCTTGAGTTCATTTTGAAGGACATCCGGGTCCTATTGGGGCTCTTTTGGAGGGTCGTGGGGTTCTCTTGGAGCCCTCTCGGGGGCCTCTTGGGAGCCTTGCAGGGCCTCTTGGTGCCATCCTGGAGGGCGTCGATCAAGATCAAAACAACAACATCGGAACAACAAGACAAGACGTGGGTGGGGGGGCGAATTGTAATGGTGTTCTTTTTCCCCATGTCCTAAGATGGGGCACTTGTTATTTCTTGGACGGCGCCGAGTCCAACCAGAACCAGAGCCCCTCCTCTCCTCCCTCCTCCTCCTTCCTCTCTTCCTCCTCAAACTTACTCATGCACAGACTTACTCTTACTCAGACTCATTTATAATCAGGCCTAGTCATTTGACACTCAGACCTTCGCATGATCACATTCATTTATACTCAGACCAAGTTATACTCAGACTTACTCATACTCAGTCTCGCTATCCTAAGATAGGGTTATTGGTATTACTTGGACGTACCCTACTCCCCCTCCTCCTTCCTCTTCTCGTCCCCTCCTCTTCTCGTCCCCTCCTCTTCTCGTCACCTCCTACTCGGACTCACTCATGCTCAGACTTACTCATACCCAGACTTACTCATACACAGACTTTCTCATACACTGACTCACTGATACTCAGACTTACTCATACCCAGACGTACTGATACACATACTTACTCATACTCAGACCTAAGCATACTCAGACCTTCTCTTATTCTTTTTTATTCGACACACATCAGATTTGGAGGATGTCTCAGGCGGGGCGCTGGGTTCAGCACCCCTAAGGGGAGCCGCCAGGGGTGTTTGCACGGGCCCGTTCGTGGCCATTTTGTGGGGACGTGTCAAGCGGTTTGCATGTTTTCATGTTCAACATCCTTCGCTTGGAGAGCAGATTGTGAGGATGTCTCAGGAGGGGCGTTGGTTTCAGCACCCCGAGTCGCCAGGGGTGTTTGCACGGGCCCGTTCGCTGCCATTTTGTGGGGATGTCTCAGGCGGTTTGCTCGTTTTCATGCTCAGCATCCTTGGTTTTCATAGGAGGTTTTGAGGTTCAGCACACTTAAAAGGAGCCGCCAGGGGTGTTTTCACGGGCCCGTTCGCGGCCAGTTTGTGGTGATGTCTCAGGCGGTTTGACTGTTTTGGTGGGGAGATTCTTGCGTTTAGAGCAGGTTGTGAGGATGTCTCAGGCGGGGCGCTGGTTTCAGCACCCCTGAGGGGAGCCGCCAGTGGTGTTTTCACGAGCCCGTTCGCGGCCATTTTGTAGGGACGTCTCAGGCGGTTTGGCTGTTTTGGTGGGCAGACTCGTCTGCGTTTAGAGCCGTTTGTGAGGATGTCTCAGGCGGGGCGCTGGTTTCAGCACCCCTAGAAGGAGCCGCCTGGGGGTAGGACACGGGCCCGTTCGCGGCCAGAATTCTGAGGAGGTGGAATGAATGGGAGGCACATATCCAATCATACTCAAAACTCACTCTGGCTCATACTCACTCACTCGCATTAGGATTCACTCGTGTTCGTCGGCCCTGTCGCCCACGTGGACACGCTATTATAGTCAAGCGCTCATGAACAGACGCTCACTATGGCATGACATAATACATGAGATGCACATATGGGGAGCTCCACGCAGTGAGTAATTCATTGTTTTGCCAGTCGGCCATGCCCTCGCACCACCCCCCCCTCCCCCCAAATGGAGTAGATCCTGGCTGTTGTTGGCGCCTGTTTCAAGCAGGTGGAGTAAGCACGGGGGCCCCACCTCATAGGATTCCCCATGGAAGTGCTGCTCCAAACAGCCGCACTCAGCAGAGGTCCGGATCCAGACCCCCCCCTCCCCCCCCTGTCGTTCAATGCTGAAACGCCTAATGACACAACGTCTCTTGTTGCTAGCAAAGTTTTGTCTCTCAGGGCCTTCTTGGGGTGTTTCTGGGGCGCTTCGTCGCGAATCCCCAAGAAACCTCCGGGATGGGGTCGGGCGGCATCCCGCCCCGAATGGACGCGAGGTGTCATACGACCTTCGTCGCATTTGCATGTTTGGGCCCAGGCCATTCAAGGTCGACTCCCCCTCCTCCTCCTCCTCCTCCTCCTCGTTTTACTCCTCCTTCTCCTCCTCCACGGATTCTCAGGCCACTGGTCCGCCTACCTTCTTGAAGGCCAGCCGGAGAGCCTCTCTGGAAGTCTGGCCGCGGAGCCTGTCTGGAGTTCTCCAACAGAAAACCCTGGGGTGAGGTGGAGCCGCCCGCCACCCGTGCAGATGACGCACAACCCGCGATCTTTGACCATACAGTCGGGGCGCTGAAGAAGGAACCCTTTTCGTTGGGGAAGGGCTCGGTGCTCCTCGATTGTTTTACAGCTTGCCACAGGTTCTCCGCAGGTTTTCCATGGGGGGTAAAAGTAGAACGTATAGAATAAAGGGCCTCGGTCCTTATTTCAGGTTCTTCACGTCAACGCCCCGACTGTACAGGATCCGGCTTGAATAAGGAACACTTACTATCTAAAATAGGGCTCGGTCGCTCCTTTGGTTTGCATGCGTTCCGCTACCTTTCTGGCAGCGAGCCCCCCTGGTGTTCCTTCAGATTCTGGACGCCCCGGTCCGTTCCTTCGGACTTCGCAGACTTGCCTGGAGAGACACAGGGGCTTCGTTCCTTACGTGCCGTTCCCTATAGGTCAGACCGGATCTTGTACTCCGAGTGTCTTAAGAAGCGTCGACGGGGCGTCACCCCCGGCCCCCGCTAAAACAGAACTAGGATCGGGATAAATCGCTCCAGAGCGTTCCGGAGCGCTCTCAGAGCGTTCTGGAGCGGCTGCGGCGCCCGATACATCCTCCAAACCCGCCGATCCTCAGAGATTTCGAGTTATCCCGATCCGATGTTGTCCCGATCTTCGCGTCGTTTTACCCGCCGACGGCCCAACGTCGACACCCGTCGCGGGCAGCCGCCGCGCGCCCCAGAAGGCGTTCCGACCCCCCCGGCGCGGGCGCGGCGGCGAGGTGCCCTGGGGGTGAGGAGACGGAGCTGCTTTCCACCCGTGCATATGGCGCATGGCTTTAGGAGGAGGAGGAGGAGGAGGAGGAGGAGGACGAGGACGAGGACGAGGACGAGGACAATGAGGAGGAGGAGGAGGAGGAGGAGGCCGACAGTCCGATTTTGGACGAGAAATGAAACGTACCCAAAAATATAAAACAAAAATGATATATGAAACAAAAACGTCCCCTGGTTATTTTTTACTTTTTTTGAATGTCCCCCCTGTAGAGGGACAGGCCCGACTCAGCGCATGGCAGGGGTGGACCCGAGCTGCGCCGCTTTGCGGGGCCTCGGCTGTGCTTGATGTTTCCTTGCTCGCTCTGGCAGGGAGGTGATTATCGGGCCGGACGAAAAGGGGGGATAGGGAAAGGGGGGGGTACGAAATCTGCTGTATGCAGTTGACTTCGGCCCCACCGAGGGGCCCACTCCTCGATGCATAATACATGGCCGCCTCCGGCGCCGGGATGCGCCGGGAAAATCAGCTATGTGAGCTGATTCTCAAACCCCCTTTTGCTTCCCCCTCCTTTCGCCCAGCCCGAATTTACATCGGCGTCGCCCCAGCATACTAATGCTATATATGGTCCAGGGCTTGGGCCCCCCCCCAATGCTGATGCCATTGGGCCCCCCCCCCCGCGCGATGATCCCCCCCGCCCCCCCCCTGTGGGCGTGGCGTGGTGCTGCGCTGCGGTGCCCCCCTCCCCCCCCTGTGGATGTGGTGTGGTGCTGTGGTGGTTCAGAGGTGGGCGTGGCGTGGTGCTGCGCTGCGGTGCCCCCCTCCCCCCCCCCTGTGGATGTGGTGTGGTGCTGTGGTGGTTTAGAGGTCGTCGTCGTCGTCGTCGTCGTCCTCGTCGTCCTCGTCGTCCTCGTCGTCGTCGTCGTCGTCGTCTTCGTCGTCGTCGTTGTCATCGTCGTCGTCGCCGTCGTCATCGTCGTAGTCGTCGTTGTCGCCGCCGCCGCCGCTGGCGTCGTCGCCGCCGCAGCCGTCGTCGTCGTCGTGGTCATCGTCGTCGTCGTCGTCGCCGTCGTCGTAGTCGTCGCCGTCGCCGTCATCGTCGTCGTCGTCGTCTCCGGGACCATACCATCTGGGGGGGGGGGGGGCCGAGGAATCCTGGGACCATACCATCTGTGGGGGAGGGGGGGGCCCGTGGGCCCGGAGCCCGGGATCATATATGTGCGTCGCCTCCCGGGGGGCGATGCGCGCACCGAGAGGTCTTACAGTATATGCGTCGTGGCGGGCGCTTTCTGGCCACGCCGCTCGGGAAACGATCTACTACAAGATGGGTGTACTGTTTGCTCGGGTCGGACGCGCGCCTCCAAAGAGGATACATATATATATATATATATAATATTAGTTTCTTTGCGTCCATTACAGGAACAACAGACACGACCACCAAACGGAAGGCAGCGTTCAGGTCCATCCCTGACGCACAACCCGCGATCTCCGACCACGCGGTTGTTTGGCCAGTCTCAGAGGCAAAGGTTGCTTTGAAAGGGGACCGCCCCTCATCCTGGGTTGAACGAAAGTTCGATGCGGTACGGCGAGGGACACAATTCGAATTTGAAAAGGAGCCTTCCGTGTATGTTGTAGATGCGAGAACCCCGTTCTTTCAAGGAACCGCCCTCCATCCATGTACCTGGTTGACACGCATGAGCGCGACGTTCACGCGAGAGCCACACGTTGGAAATTCTCCACCCGCCGTAGTTGTAACTGCTGGATTTCTTTCAACACGAATGTGCGTGGCGCACACGGCGAAGGGGAACTCCCTCGCCACGCACATTTCTGGCCAACGGACTCCATCGTGGGAATCCATATTTGGATTCGCTCCCTCGTGGGAACCAACGAATGTTCGTGAATTTCCTCCCTCGTGGGAATCCATCTTTGTAACTGCTGGATTTCTTTCAACACGAACTGCGTACATGTTGAAGGGGACCTTTCCCTCGATCTGTGCAGCAGCCGGGAGTCAAAACCTTCGGACTTCCAAAGGGGGACTCAGGCGAACAATGCTCGGCCCGCCCTATCGACACGTTCTGCGTCAAAACGACGAGGAGGAGGAGACCGAGGAGGAGGAGGAGACCGAGGAGGAGGGGACCGAGGAGGAGGGCTGGAGGAGGAGACCGAGGAGGCCCGGGGAGGAGGAGGAGGAGGAGGAGGAGGAGGAGGAGGAGGAGGAGGAGCAGCACGAGGCTGATCAGCAAAGGGGCTGATCAGGAAAGGGCCGGAGGAGGAGGCCGAGGACGAGGAGGAGGAGGAGCACGAGGAGGCCCCGCCGCGAAAAGCCTTCGGGGGCGGCCCCGATTCCAGCGGTTCGGCGAGGGGGGAAGTGACAGGGGGCAGGCACTTGCAAGAAGGCGGCGGGGCTGCTCAGACGCCCCTTGCCTTTTGGGAAGTCTTCTCTCGTTTCGGAACGTGTTCAGGAAGCTCCTTTGACGACCGGAGGCCTTGCGAGCCTTCTTAGAAGGCCCGCCCCCTCTGCCTTTCCGCATTGGCCAGATCTTCATGCTGAGTCATTTTGACGTCCCCGTGGTTGGGAAACGAATGTCCTCGAGTTACCGAAAACCCGCAAAAACCGGCCGTCGCTAGTTTTTTTTGCGCCGCTCGTGTGTGGGGGGAGGAGGAGGATCTAGGCCTCCCAGATGGGGTCAGAGTAGATGGGGTCGGGGGATCGCCTCGCATCGCCGATGCGGCTCGATGTGGAGCCCGATGTTCTGCACGCCGGCGTCGCCGATGCATCGCATACGTCGCCGATGAATTGCCGATGCACCGGCGATGCATCGGCGATGCGTCGCCACCCGCCCGTCCCATCCAGACCCCATCTAGGACGCCTCTAGGGGAGGCCTCCTCGCGAACCGCCCTGAGGGCGGCCCGACCTCGGTCCCTGCGGGCGCCCCCTCCCCCCTCCCCGAGGTGGGCTTCGCCGTGGCGAAGCACGTCGGCGACGGCCCCGGGCACGCCGCGGCGGTCCTCGGGGGACGGGAAGGGACCTCGGCCCATCCTGCGAGAAGCAGATCGTCACACAGACATACACTTTGGGAGGTCCGCGTGGACTTGATTTCCGATCTCTGCAACTCCACCGTCGGCTCCTGGTAGGCCCTGCTTGGAGGCCATCCTACAATTCGGGACAGACGGTGCGGTGACCACACCGCGTGGTGTGTCCGTCGGGACTTGGGGTCGTCACCGGGCGGTTTGGGAGTCTGGATCGTTACCCGAGGATTTCTCGGGCGACTGAGGCTTCCAAGATCCGAGAACCGTGCGCTTACGGTCCGTACGGTGAGGTCGTTGGGGGCTCCGCCGTCGCGGCGCAGTCCGTCGCCGCGAGGTTTCGAGGCCGCGAAAGGTTCAGCGGAGAGAAAGAGCGCGTTCTGTGGTCACTTGGGGGGGGGGGTTGGAACCGGGCCCCCCCCCCCTGCTTCCCCTCTCTTTGGACCGGCATTGCGCTTGGGTCGGCGGCGGCTGGCGACGGCGGCGGGGACGACGATTTCCATTTCTTGGCCGGCGCTGGCGCCTGCGGCGGCGGGCGGCGGTGGCGGGGAGCGTCGACGAGGATGACGGTGGTGGTGGTGGTGGTGGTGGGTTGTGGTGGTGGTGGTGGCGGTGGTGGTTGTGGTGGTGGTGGTGGTGGTGTGGTGGTGTGGTGGTTTCTTGTGGTGGTGGTGGTGGAAGTTGTGGCAGTGGGTGGTGGTGGTGGTGGTTTGGTAGTGGTGTGGTGGTGGTTTGTGGTGGTGGTGGTGGTGGTGGGTTGTGGTGGTGGTGGTTTGGTGGTCGTGTGGTGGTGGTTTGTGGTGGTGGTGGTGGTGGGTTGTGGTTGCGGCGGTGGTTGGTGGAGGCGGTGCTTGTGGTGGTAGTGGTGGCGGTGGTGGTTGTGGTGGTGGTGGTGTGGTGCTTGTGGTGGTGGTGGTGGTGGGCGTTGCTGCTGTCAGTGGTGGTTGTTGTGACTGTGGTGGTGGTGGTGGTGGTGTGGTAGATTGTGGTGGTGGTGGTGGTAGTGGTGATGGGTTTTTGTGGTGGTGGTGGTGATGGTGAGTTGTGGTGGTGGTGGTGGTGTGGGGGTCTGGTGGCGGTTTGTGGTAGTGGTGGTTGGTTTTTGTGGTAGTGGCGGTGGTTTGTGGACGTTTGTTGTGGTGGTTGTGGTGGTGGCGGTGTTGGGGGTGGTGGTGGTGTGCTGGATTGTGGTGGCGGCGGTGTATTGTGCTGCTGGTAGTGGTGGTGGTTGTGGCGGTGGTGGTGGTGGTGTGGTAGATTGTGGTGGTGGCGGTGGTGGTTGTGGTGATGGTGAGTTGCGGTGGTGGTTGTGGTGGTGGTGGTGGTGTGGTGGTTGTGGTGGGTGTGGTGCTGTTGTCGGTGGTGTTGGTGGTGGTGAGTTGCGGCGGTGGTGGTGGTGGTAGTGGCGCTGGTGCTGGTAGTGGTGGTAATCGTCGCTGCGTCCCCGGCGTCGCTGGTGCCAACGCCGGCGCTGCTGGCCGCCGCCAGCGCTGGCGCCGAGGGGAGTTTGAACCCCCCCCCCTTGGGAGGGGGGCTGAGGTTTGAATCCCCCCCCTGCCAGCCCCCTGGGCTGCCTCTGGCCATCGTCGCCACGTCCCCGCCGTGGGCGCGGCTGGCGGCCGCCAGCGCTTGCTCCAGCGCCGAGGGGAGGGGGGGGGAGGTTTGAACCCCCCCCCCTCCTTGAGAGGGGGGGGGTTCGAGATGGGGGGGTTTGGGGTGGAGGGGAGTCCCCTTGGTTTTGATCGACGTCGCCGAGTTTTGGGGGGGGGCCCACCCCCCGGTTTGAAACTCCCCGCCGAATGTTTCTAAGGAAAGCGCCCGTGAAACACGTTCTCTCAGAGGAGCGAACGCATGAAAAGCGACCCCCGCCCCCCACATGAGGAACTTTGGGCCAGGTGCACTTACGCACCTTCGCCACAACTGCCAAACGTTGCCATAGTTGTGGGGGCTGGGGTCGGTTTCCCAGTGTTCGAGGAGGTGCTGGCGCGTTGTCCTGGGCGGTGCCGACGCGCTGGCCCCTCTGCGCGCAGGGCCCGCGCCTGGGCCTGCGGGTGCGCGTTGGACCCGGCAGCGCGGACAGGGCATCGCCGTTGGGTCTGCCAGCCTGTCTCGCTCCGGGGCTCTGATGTTCCAACCTGCTTCGGCCCAAGAAAAAATCGAGCACCAAGAAAGTACCGAACCCCGAGGGCTTCCGCGTGTCGGGCCCTGGGTGGCGATACTCGTTCCACACTGCTTCGACACTTTTCTGGGTGCTTCTTGAACTTCTTACTGGGACTTGGCCCTCAAGTGCGATGGGAGCAGCATGACTCCCGGGCCTCTTCCTGGCGAGGCCCCTTGGGGCCACTTCTCCGCGTCCACGGCCTCGCAGCCCGGGCCCCTGGGCCGCGAATGCGGGGCGTTCTCGCGGATGCCCCGCGCGGAACGTTCCCAGGATAGGCTTGTTTCCCACCACCACCACCATAAGTTGGAGGGGGAGGGGGTTCTCTCCTGCTCCTCCTCCTCCTGCTCCTCGCAACAGACCCATCATTCCCATGCAGCCGCGTACCCTCGGGATCGCAACCCGGAATCCAACCCGCGAAGGCGCGGAAATGGAAACGCTCACCGCTTGCGAATTTACTGCGCCAAGGCTGGAGCCCTCTGACCTTCGGGGAGGGCACACACAAGAAAGGCAGAGAGAGTCCAGGTCTCGAGCAGGCCAGAGATTCGCCAGATCTTGAGGTGTACGGGTCCTGAGGTTTTTCGTTGTTGTGTTGCTTCCAGGGCCTTCCCTAGGTCCTGGGACACTATTAGGGATGAGGAAGTGGTCTTGAGGGAACGCCCGTAGGTCCAGTGCCTGTTTCCCTCAGGATCATCTTGCTGATGCCATCATGAGTTTTGAAGTCATCCCAACCACCCGTGTGGTTGGGTCCTCGTTTTGAATCAGCAGCGCCGCGCGTCCTCACCTCACCTCACTCCTGCTCCTCCTTCATTTTCTCGTCTGGCAGGCCCCTTCATCCAGCGGTTCTTAATCTGTTTGTTGATGTTGTTGTTGCTATGTCATGTGTCTTTCTTCAGGAGCTGTTTCGTTCCTCTTCCTCGTTGTCTTCCTCTTCTCCCTTTCCAACGTCTCCTCCCTCTTCCTCATCCTAGAGCGCTTCCTGTCCCTCAGGGAGCTCTACCGACTGCCCCAGTGGATGCGTCCGCATGGCGCCGCCGCGCCAATGTCAGCCCACGCCTACACGTTTCCTGCCTCCACGGGAACTCCACCGAGGGCCTAAGTAGGCTCGTCCGCATGGCGCCGCCGCCGCCCCTTCCTGCCTCCTGGGGGGCTCCACCGAGGGCCCCAGTGGGCGCGTCCACATGGTGCCGCCGCGCCTATTTCGGCACACTCCTCACACGTTTCCTGCCACCACGTGAGCTCCACCGAGGGCCCCAGTGGGCACGTCCGCATGGCGCCGCCACCACTCCTACACGTTTTCTGTCTCCGAGGAAGCTTCACCGAGGGCCCCAGTGGGCGCGTCCGCATGGCGCCGCCTCGCGACCAGAACACCTCTTGCATCAGTTTTTGCGTCCCAGGGAGCTCCACTCGGGGCCCTAGTGGGTGCGTCCGCATTCGCCGAGCGCGCTCCACTACTCGCAAAGTGCCTACTCGCAAACGTCCGAAACAAACAGGTATTCCTCTATGTGATGTATCGGAAGTCCCCCGCGGCGGATCCCGGCCATTTGCGAGTAGTTGATTAATGAGTAGTGGAACGCGCTTGTCCACGCATGGCGCCGCCGCGCCCATTTCGGCACACGGCCACCTGCCTAGTGATGAGCACCGCCCAGACTCGGCTGGCACTTCGAGGCCATAAGAGGGCACTGTCGGACCGAGGTATAATATCGAGGTCAGCTTGGGGAGGGTGCCCTACTGTTCTTCGTGTGTGTTGGATACTCTTGTGCATCCTCGTGGAGGCTACCCTCGAACGTTTCTCAGTTTGACCAGCGGAGGATCTCATGTACTTGAAGGGCGTTATTATGTTCTATGCCTTGCCGTACGGAGGAAAAGGAGACAACAGCAAACAGCTTCAGATGCTGTTCACTCTGCTGAGGTGCCCGTGACATCGGCGGTGGCGTTTGAGACGCGTCGTATCGGCGGGAGGGAGGTGGCCGAGAAGGTGTTTCGCGGTTTGGGGGTCCCTGTTGGATATTTTCCTCACATCCTACATGGGTGTTTTTTGTTTTCTCTGCACACCTCCGCGCAGTCCTCCTCCTCCTCCTCCTCACCCCCTCTCTCTCACACACTCACGCGCCATCATCATCGTCGTCATCAGCACACACACACACACTCATTCATACTCACCAGACTACTCTCACAACAACGCATTCATCATCACAATCGGCATCATCATCAGATTCGCACAACTCCTCATCAGCGCCACTATCACCAACTCACCATCACCATCACGAACATCATACATTCATCACTATCACCATCCCATCGTGATCATCGGCCAAGAGGGAGCCTCGTCTGTGAGTGAGTTGCGAGGAAGTCTCGGGTGGGAGCCTCCTCCCTATGAGTTCCGCCCCTTGTGTTTTTCATCCGAGCGGGTCATCGGAACCCTGAGGGTGTCGTCACTTTTCGGCTCCTCTGGATTGCATATGGAGGAAGGCTCAGGCGGTAGCTTCGTCTGTGAGTGATTTGCGAGGAAGTCTCAGGCGGGAGCCCTTGCCACACCTCATGTTGGTAATCCGAGCGGGTCATCGGAACCCTGTAGGTGTCGACATGTTTGGGCTCTTCTGGATTGAATCTGGAGGGAGTCTCAGGCGGGAGCTTCGTCTGTGAGTGAATGAGGGGAGCCCCCTCCCTATGGGTTCCGCACCTCATGTTCGAGCGGCTCACCCGAAACCTGTAATCCTTGCCAATAGGTCCGGCACCTCATGTTCTTCAGTCGAGCGGATTTTTGGAAACTTGTGATAGTCGTCATTTTTCGGCTCCTCTGGATTGGATATTGAGGAAGTCTCAGGCGGGAGCTTCGTCAGTGAGTGAATTGCGAGGAAGTGTCAGGCGGGAGCCCCCTCCCTATGGGGCCCGCACTTCATGCTGGTAATCCGAGCGGGTCATCGGCAAACTCCACCGGGCATAGCCTTTGAGCCCCCCCAAAGGGGCACATCACAAGGCGTTCCTCACGCGCCTGTGAGTGAGTTGAAATGAAGTCTCAGGCGGGAGCACCCTCCCTATGGTTCCATTTGAATGCAGAGCATAATACATCATCCTGTTGCGTCGGAAAGTAGAAGAACACAAGAGAGATCAGAGACCAGCCGAGAGCAACAGAGACCAGCAGAGTCCCGCAGAGAGCAGCAGAGACCAGCAGAGGCCGTTCATGAGGAGAACAGGCGGGATGGAGATGATAGGGGGGGAGAGAAGGAGGAGGTGGAGGAGGAGAAGTAGGAAAAGGGCGAAGAGGACGAGGATACACTGAACACGGAGGGCGAGCAGGAGAAGGAGGAGACGGAGGGCGAGGGAGACAAGGAGGAGGAGGAGGAGGCGCAACAGAGTGGCGAGACGGGGGGCTCCAGCCAGTGCGAGGAGGAAAGAGCGGAGGGACACCTAAATAATATATTTTCATGTGGGGTCCTACCGTCGGAGTAATTCTGTATTCCAGATGTCGTAATAAAAGGGAGGGGGTCTGGACCTCCAAGACGAGAAGTTTTAGACCCCCCCCCCCTGGGAGAACCCTCCAAAACATCGTCCCCAGACCCCCCCAGGCCCTCCAAGATAGCCTGGAAGAGACCCCCCCCCCGAAATGAGACCCCCCTCCCTTTATTACGAAATCTGGAGTACACGTTGATTGTTGGGTGGGCTTTGCTGGGACGTCCAAAGAGCCATCTCGGGCTGTTTCTGGGGGGCTCAGTTCGGCTGAGGCTGGATTGCAGTCTGGTCGTGGTCTCACTCCGCTTCGGGGGGGGACGCGGCCGTACAATGGGCGGGGCGAGGACGAGGATAAATCCGTTCCAGAGCGCTCCAGAACGCGCTATGAGCGTTCCGGGACGCTCTGAGAAGGCCGCGGCGCCCGAGGCATCATCCAGAGCCGCCGGATCCCAGAGACTGTCGATTTATCCTTACCCGAATGTGTCCTCATCCTGGCTTCGTTTTGGCACGAACGGCCCCTCCACTGCGGCCCGTGCCGTGCCACGGGACGCAGCACGGGGGGCGCGTCAGGAGCGTGCTGCGCGGCGGCGCGTCTGGGGGCGTGTCCCGGGCATACGTCGAGGGCGCACCGTCGGTGGAGGTGCCTGTGGGATGTGTCGGGCCGGAGACGTGTCTGAGAGCGCATCTGCACGGGGGGGGAGGAGGCAGGAGGGGAGAGAAGGACACCCTGGGTTTCTTCACCGGGGGTCAACCTCGCCTCATCGTCGCGCCGCGACGGGGGTCGGAGCGCCTTCGGCGCGCGGTGGCTGCCCGCGACGGGGTTCGATGTGGGTCTGTCGGCGGGGTGACGCCCCCCCGACGCTTCTTCAGAAACCCAGAGTAGGGAGGTGATAGAAGGGCAGGGAGCAGAAGTTAGAGGAGGAGAGGTACCAGGAGACCGGCGGAAACAAACACAGTAAAAACACTTGGGCATCTCTCTCCTTTCCGCCTCTTCCTCCTCCTCCTTCCCCCTGCCCCCTTCCTTTGCCTTGGAGGGATTGGGCTCGCCCAGAGCGGACGGAGGTCATGTCGCAGTTGGGCGCATCGGTGAGCAACAACTCGAAGTGGAACATCCACAATCCGAAGAATCGGAAGTGGTGGAAGGCGGTACCGCCTTCGGTGGAGGAGGAGGACGTGGAGGAGGAGGAGGACGACGACGATGACGCATGCCAGTGGAAGATGAGCAGGGAGTGAGTCAGTGAGGCAATGGCAAGGTCAAAACAAGACTCTGCAACCCATATTGGAGAGGCCTTACGGCTGATGCCGCCGACCCTGAACGACGACGACGACAACGACGACGATGCTGACGTGGTCAGAGTCCTAAGGGATGATCCTTGGGGTTTCTTCGGGGCGCTCTCGGGGGCCTCTGGGGGACAGTTTTGGGGCCTCTTGGGAGCCTCTCAGGGGCCTGTTCGGAGACTTTTGGAGACCGGGGCTTCCTGGAGGCCTCTTGGAGGTGTTTTGGGGGCGTCTTGGGGATTTCTTGGCGCTTCCGGGGAGCCTCTCAAGCCGAGGGCTCGAAATGTCCGTTCAGGTCCCCCGTCTGGACACCTTCTCGGAGCCTTCTTGGGGTTCTCTTGGGCCGTCGTGAAGGCCTCTTGGGCCATTTCGGGGGTCCTCTTGGGTAGTTTTAGGGTCCTCTTGAAGGCCTCGTGGGCTGTCTCGGGCCAATCTTAGGGGCCTCTGTGGCCGTCTTGGAGTGTCGGGAAGCTGAATAAGCGAGAACCCCCAAATCTATCAAAAACCTAAGGGTCATCAATGAGTTTCGCCTCGTGGGGCTCTCTTGGAGTCGTCTTGGATGCCTCGTGGGGCGTCTTGGAGACCTCGTGGGCCGTCTGGAGGCTACTTTAGCGTCTTGGACCGATAGTTCTGCGGTTCGGGCCCCTCTTGGACCGTCTCGGGGGCCTCTTGGGGCAGTCTTCGTTCCTGTTGGGGGGGTTTTGGGCTTTGGGGCCCCTCGGGGGGAGGGGCATTCTGACCCGGGACTTTCCCTGAGCCCCCCCCCAACGCCACGACGAAAGCTCGAAGAAACGAGAGGAAATCCAATGCATTATTGCACTCCGCCTTCCAAAGTTCACACGTGCAGTAAGGTGTTCACCATGTTGCTCCGTTGCAGTTGAGCGTTGCAGCATTGAAAGCACAAAGCCACCGAGTAGCCATAGGAAGGTTCAACTCAGCTGCCGTGCAGAGGATGCGAGTAACAGATGCTCCCCGTGTTCGCAGTGCAGAGATGATACAGTTCGGATGTGCACCCACCCGGCCGCACGATGTACGGTAGGTTCGCGTCGTGTCGACCAGCGGCGACCCCGCCGCCAGCGTTCAACGTTGAACGCCGCTGGCGACTCGTAATCGGTCGATGTCGAACGATCTGACGTTTCGGAAGCAGCTGATCGTTCCAGGCTGAACGATTCAGCGTGGCGTCAGAAACCAACGTCGGGGTCGGCACGACGCAAACTCGCAGAATGCGGTGACGGTCCAGAGTTGTCGCAACTCCCGCCTCCACCACGGCGGCTCGAAATTCACCTGACCGACCTTGGAGCACCAGGGCCCAGGCTGTAAACCACCGAGCATATACGCCACGACACGCCACCAGCAGGACAAAACGCTTTGAATGTTTGCAACGGTCACTTGGTGTTGCACTGAAGATCGTGATGGCCAGCTTCATATCCCTCCACCGAGCTTCGAGACCCAGCAGTATTCCAAAATATGTCACGAACGCGTCATTGCGAACAAGGCCCTATGCAGCACAACTGACCTTATGTGGCCTATGTTTGTAAGCGTACGCCCAGGGGAGGGTAGATGGAGCGGCTCCAGCCCATGGAACGGATGCCCAACAAGACGCTCAGGAGCGGACCGAATTCTGTGCGACAGAGACACCACGCACGCCCAGGGGATGCTAGATGAAGCGGCCCAAGCTCCTGGAACGGACGCCGATCAGCACGTCCAGACAGCATTTGAAGTCCAATCGGCTGTACATCTTAATGCGCCCAACTCATGTCACGCCTCTGTTGGCTGAAGAGTGCGCAACCCGCTTTCCCGTACGGTGGATCGCCGCCTTTTTTTAGCCGCGCAATACGTTCCGATTGGCCGTGCAGGCATCGCAAGGTCCCGCGTGTTTGTGTTGTCTCTTGTCGCACGACGTGGCCATCAAACACCCACACGGAGTCATTGGGCAAGATTTGAGGTTACCCGTGAGCCAAGCGGCTATGCACGCGTGCGTTCCGCATTCGATTTGAGGAATATGACAAGGGCGGATGGAGATCAACAGTGCGAGGAGGAGCAGAAGCAGCAGTGGACGGACGAGGAGGAACAGGGCGAGCTTGCGCCAGGAGAGGAGGTTGCATGGAACAGGTCGATGGGCTGGAGAGGACCAGGCATGCGATCGATGAGGAGGAGGTTCAGGATGGTGACGGTGAGAAGGGAGAGAGGGAGGAGGAGGAGGAGGAGGAGGAGGAGGAGGAGGAGGAGGGTGATGATGAGGAGGAGGTTATATGAGTGAGGATGACGGTGAAGGGTTCCTTATGGGAGGCTCTGTTCTCGGAAGAGGTGTGCCGAAGTGGGCGGCATGCGGCAGAAGGGAACGCCCGCTGGGGCCCGTAGCTGGAGCTTCAAATGCACGCATGATGCGTGTGAGGGTTGTGCTGAGATGGGCAGGGTGCGGCCTAGACCGCAGGTGGAGCTCAAGATGCTCGAGACGGTTTCTGGCCGACGACGCCGACCTTTCCCTTGTGTCCGACGCTTCATCCTGAGGTGTTTTCGAATGACCTTGGGGCTGAGAATCGTCCTGCCGATGGCATCAAACAGCCGAGCTCCGCGATGCGTGTGTGTGTGTGTGCGTGCGCGCGTGTGTGTGTGTGTTTGTGTGCGTGTGCGAGTGCGAGTGTGCGTGTGCGTGCGTGCGTGCGCGTGTGTGTGTGTGTTTGTGTGTTTGTGTGTGTTGTTGTGTGTGTTTGTGTGTGTGTGTTCGTGTGTGTTTGTGTTTGTGTTTGTGTTTGTGTGTGGGTTCGTGTGTGTGTGTGCGTTTGTGCGTGGGTTTGTGTGTGTGTTTGTGTGTGTGTTTGTGTGTGTGCGTCTGCGTGTGTGTCTGTGTTTGTGTGTGTTTGTGTGTGTGGTTGTGTGTGTTTGTGTGTGTTTTGTTTTTGTGTGTGTGTTTGTGTGTGTGCGTTTGCGTGTGCTTGTGTGTTTGTGTGTGCGTGTTTGTGTGTGTGTGTTTGTTTTGTGTGTGCTTGTGTGGGTTTGTGTGTGGTCGTGTGTGTTTGTGTGTATGTGTTTGTGTGTGTGTGGTTTTCTTTATGTGGTTGTGTGTGAGTGCGTGTTTGTGTGTTTGTGTGTGTGTGTGTTTGTGTGTGTTTCTGTGTGTGGTTGTGTGTGTTTCTGTGTGTTTGTGTGTGATTGTGTGTGCTGGTGTGTGTGTGTTTGTGTGTGTTTGTGTGCTTGAGTGTGTGTGTGTGTGCGTGTGTTCGTGTGTATGTGTGTTTGTGTGCTGGTGTGTGTGTGTTGGTGTGTGTGTGTGTTTGTGTGTGGGTTTGTGTGGTTGCGTGTGTGTGTGTGTTTGTGTGTGTGTTTGTGTGTGGTTGTGTGTGAGGTTGTGTGTGTGTTCGTTTGTGTGTGTGTGTTTGTGTGTGTGACTGTGTGCTTCTCTGTGTGTGTGTGTTTGTGTGTGGTTGTGTGTGTTTGTGTGTTTGTGTGTGTGTGTGTGTGTTTGTGTGTGTTTTGTGTGTGTGTGTGTTCGTGTGTGGTTGTGTTTGTGGCTGTGTGTGGGTTCGTGTGTGTGTTTGTCCGTGTGTTTGTGTGTGTGTGTTTGCGTGTGTGTGTGTGTTTGTGTGTGCGTGTGCGTGTGTGTCTGTGTTTGGTTGTGTGTGTTTGTGTGTTTGTGTGTGGTTGTGTGTGTTTGTATGTTTGTGTGTGTGTGAGTGTTTGTGCGTGCGTTTGTGTGTACTTGTGTGTGTTTGCGTGTGTGATTGTGTGTGGTTCTTTGTGTGTGTGTGTGTGTTTGTGTGTGCGTGTCTGTGTGTTTGTTTGCGTGTTTGTGTGTGTGTTTGTGTGTGAGTGTGTGGTTGTGTGTGTTTGTGTGTGTGCTTGTGTGTGTGTTTGTTTGTTAGTGTGTGTGAGTGTTTGTATGTGTGTTTGTGTGTGTGTTTGGGTGCGTTGTGTGTGTGTGTTGTGTGTGCGTATGCGTGTGCGCGTGGGTGTGTGTGTGTGTGTGTGCGTGTCTGTGTGTATGTATGTCTGTGTGTGTTGTTGCTGTGTGTGGTGTGTGTGTGTGTGCGTGTTTTCGTGTCTGTGTGCGTGCGTGTGTGCCGCCGCCTGCCTGCTGCGGGCTGCGCGGGCCCCGGCGGGCGGCGGGCCCGCGCACGGACGCGCGCGTCCCCCCTCCATTCCTTCTCCCCTCCCCCCGTGTCCCACCCGCCTCACACTTCGAGGCCCGGTCGTGCCCCCACTCTTTCTTTCAGCAGGCCTCCCAATGAGATAAGGCCCCCGAGGACAACAGCACGGCGCCCGCGCCCATGCCTGCGTCCCACCACCACCCCCCGCGTCGTCCTTCGCCCGTCGTCTTCAGTCGGGCCTGTCCCTCTACAGGAGGAGTATTCCAAAATAGTCAACCAACAGTCTGGGGACGACTTTTTGGACATCGTTTGGCTGGTTTGGGATATTTGTTGTGAGCATCTCTCTTCGTCGTCCAAAATCCGCCCGCACGGGGACACGCCCGACCTAACCGTCGGAACTCCCTCCTCTGCCACCGAGGCCCTCCTTTCGTCGGTGGTTAAATATTGTTGCTTATCCCTGACTGGCGCCGCTTTCCCCGTGGTTCGCTGTCCCCGTCTTGCCGTTGCCTGCCCATCCGTTCCTTCCCTTGGCCGTTCGTCGCCGCCTGCCGGGCTGCAGTGCGCTTCCACGTCCGCTCCACGTCCACTGTTGTTACGATGTTCCGGCTTACGTTAGCCTTGATCAACATACAGCATTTCGAGCACCAGAAAAGCACCCAGCAACTCGAAGGTTTTCACGTGTCGGGCCCTTGGAGGCACTCGTCCGACACTGTTTCGACACTCTTTCGACACTTTCGACACTTTTCCGGGTGCTCGAAAGTATTTCAGGGATGCGGTCTTTAAGTACGATGGAAGCAACATGAGGTCGGTGTTTCAACCTGCCTCACCCTCGCTGCCCATGCCCTGGTGGGCGCATGGCATCGTTGAACCATTTGGGATATTTGCCCCATTTTCGGAGGGGTTGGCCGCGCGCGCTGTTACTTCGTTCCGACCTTTTGTCTCCGCCCCGTCGCTGCGCTGCGCCCGAGGCCGCGATCGCCAACAACGTGTGTGTGTGTGTATGTGTGTGTGGTGTGTGCGTTTGTGTGTGAGTGTGTGCGTATGCGTGTGCGTGTGCGTGTGCGTGTGCGTGTGCGTGTGCGTGTTCGTGTGCGTGTGTGTTTGTGTGTGAGTGTGTGTGTGTGTGTTTGTGTGTGCTTGTGTGTGTGGTCGTGTGTTGCGCGGCGCCAGGGATCTGGGCCGAGGCGATATCCGAGAGGCGATCCGCGACGGCGACGGCCACGACTGTGCGTGTCTTTCTTCCCCAGGCCTTTCAGAATGGGGTCGCAGGATCGAGCCGCATCGCCGATGCATCGGCGATGCGACCCGATGTGGAGCCTGCATGGTTCCACGACGACGGCGATGCGGCGCGGTTGTCCGACACCGTCTGCTCAGACCCCGGTTTGGGGGAGCGGCGCTGACACGAAGACGGCCTCGACGGCGCGCGGCCCTCGTAACGTGGGCCACGCTGTTCGAAGACGCCTCGAGGTCTCATCTTGAGAGCCCATACTTTGCTGACCCCCCGTCCTCCTCCTCCTCCTCCTCCTCTTCCTCCTTTCGTCCGACCTAGCGTTGGGATGCAATTTCTGGGAGGTTGAATTCATCACTGGCGCTGGTCGGCTTGCGGTCGGAGGCCATCCACATTCGGCATTCTCCCGGTTTTTTCTGTTGACTCCCGCTCAGCCCGGCCTCATCCGACTTTATCCCTGGCTCAATCGGGGCGGATCCAGTTGCAGCATGGCCTCCTAATCCGCCGCACTCGCCTTCAAATGTGTTACGAAGATATCCCACGAGTTGCGTCCTGCCCCCCGCAGTTGCTGACCCCCCCCGTCGTCCAAAACAGCGCTTGGCCACAGGAAACACAACTATGGCCGAACGTTGGGCCAAACATTGTCCAACATATCTGTGTACATATATGTGTATATAATGTGAATGTAACTATGGGACTGTTGTATCCAGTTGTTCGATCCCTTGGGGAGACGCTCGAGGGAGAAAGATGGGAATCCAGCCGCGTGAGTCGACTCGCTACCGCCCCAGTTTGACGACAACCTTCATCCTCCTCCTCCTTCCTCCTCATCTTTCCTCCTCCTCCCTCCTCCTCCTCCTCCTCCTCCTCCTCTCCTCCATTCCGTCTCCTTATGAATATTTTCTCCATGTCGCACCCTGGGGCCAATTTTTAGGGCGGGCCGGGCGTTTCGCCTGAGACTCCCTTGCCAGTTATGATTCTGAAGTTTAAAAAGTGGCAACAGCTTCACAGATGGAGGGCGGGTGGTTTTCAACATGTAGTTTTCGCCTTCGCGCCGCGCGCATTCGTTGAACAATCTGCAAGTGTTTCATTAATTTAGGGCGAGCCGTTTTCAAAATGTGGCTCTCGCGTTAGCGCCGCGCGCATTCGTATTATACAATTCCAAGAGTTTGACGGATTGAGGGCGAGTCGTTTTCAAAATGTAGTTCTCGTTTTCGCGCCGCGCACACTCGTTAAACATTTGCAAGAGTTTCACTGATTGAAGGCGAGTCGGCTTGAATGTGTGGTTTTCGCTTTAGCGCCGCGCACATTCATCTTGAACTTGTACAAGGGTTCACGGATTCCCATGATCAACGTACCAGAGATGGCGTTTAGGAAGGATTCAGGCCTATGAGAGTGCGCGAGTTATGTTGATTCGAGGTGTTCAATCCCAGGAACGGCGTTTTGGCACGCTTCGGGATCGCCTGGCATTGGAATCCCGACAATAATGTCTTGGCATGCTTCAGGGTCTTCACACAGTTGTCTTACAACGAGGCAGTTCCCTCCCCTCAGTAAAAATGAGCATTTGTAGGGGCCTGTGGAGAGGGAGCTTGGAGGGAGGGTGTACTTCAACATCGTTGATGCCTCTTGGGTTTGCACTGGTCCTCCTCCTCTTCCTCCTCCACCTCCTCTTCCTCCTCCTCCTCCTCCTCCTCCTCCTCCTCCTCCTCCTCCTCCTCCCCCTCCGTCCGCCCCGGCGTGCGGCCGCAGGATCACCATGTCACCTCCCAGCCGAAGGGGGCCAGGCAGCGGAGCAAGTGGCTGAAGAGGTGACGCGCGGGGCGTTGACCGCGTGTGATCTCGAGTTCGGCTCCACAACACCCGCGGAGGACGGCCCGTCGGGACGCCAGCGGTCCTCTTCCGCCTTCACGGGGTACCCGATTTCGTCGCACCGTTATTCACTCGGCGTGGAGGGGTGGATCGCGTGGGTGTGTAGGAGTAAGAGGTTTTCCGTTGGGCGTGGTGGCGGTGGATCGCTTCAGGAGGTGGGTTCGGTGGGCATGGGTGGGCTGCAACGGGCCGTGGGGCAGAGTGGCATGGGATTTGTGCTTGTAGAACAAAATGGAGTGCGAATAGAATGGTGACGAAGACCGACAGCTTAGTTCTTGCCCATTTTTTCTGCACCCAAGTCGGCCGTGCCAATCCTTTGCCTTCGGGGCGCGAGGATCATCGCGCCAAAATCGCAGGCCGGATATCGTTCGGGAAACAACGGCATGGGCCCAGATTGTCCTGGGGATTTTCGTTTTGGATTTTGAAGTGAATTTCGGGTGGATCTTTTTTGGGGCCGGGAATGAACTCCAAAAAAATCACCCGAAATTAAATTCGTTTTTCGCTCGCCGCTTCGGGGTTTAACATTGACAGAAATCCGCGCAACAATCCGCTGCAGCACGTCTGCAAGGTCGGTGCAGTGAGGATGTCAGGGAACTTCTAAAAAGTCCAAGATATCCAGAGGTATTGAACAAATCAGGGTGGACGTTTTTCGATAGTTTCGGCCCCTGCGGGCCCTCGCCGGGCCCTGGGGCCGTCAAAAGATCCACATGGTGACAAGCTGGTCCGCGGGACCCGGAATGGATCGAGATCTCCTGAGAACACGCATCGAAAACGGCAAGACATCGGACATCCAGTTGCTTGCGGCTAGTTTTGTCGCCGTATCAGCCCAGTTTTTTGGGTCCGACCGTAGTCTCGACCTCCGATCCGTTTCTGGTCCCGAACCGAGGTCTTTCGCACCTGGCTCTGAGTTCGGCCTGGGCCCGGGCTGCAGCTTCGACGGGAGCCCCCGTGAGATCCGACGTAACGAAGGAATCGCAATATTATAAACAATCACCCCCGGAGCCCTAGACCCCATGCTTCTGCCTCATTGTTCGATCTGGTTCGATCTGTGAGGTCCGCAGGGCCCGAAACAATGCAAAAAACGCCCGGCTCGAACCAACTGAGTCGTCAGGATTTCACGCCTGGGCCCCGGCTTCGGCTTCGACCTGGGTCTCGCCGATAAGTGAATCCGCACGTCCTTGGGCAGGTTGGGGCTATCCAGCCCCTATCGTCGATCAATGGGCGATTCGGGGGTCGATGCTTCCTCCCCTATGCTGATCCCCCCAGAGATCCGATGTCGTGATTTTTTCAATACGCGGTCTCCCAAAGTCTCGACCCATTCCCCAGGACCCGTTTCTCATCCTGAGTCGTTTTGTCACGGTCCCGGGGCCCGGCGAGGACCCCTTTTGTGGTTGAAGATTGTGAACAACTCGAGTCTCGATGTTTTCAATGCGTTGGGACCTCTGGGCCCCCGAGTCCCGCCAGTGCCAGCCCGGGCCTCCTCCCCAGCCCCCTTCCTGGCCATCGGTCTGGACGCCCGAAGAGGGTACCGAAAGAATGGGCACGATGCCCAACAGCAGTTCCCCTTCATTCTGAACAGGACTCGCTGTCCGCGCCGCCTCGGCCTGTGTCCATCTGAGACAGAAGGGCGCCCGCCCAACAGCGGCCGCTGTTGGTCTGGGACAACATTTCTTGTTGGGCATCGTACCCATTTTTTCGGTACCCATGTCGTCACCACCCACCAAACCACCCCAACCCAACCCGAAGGTCTCGATTTGCCCTCCATTTCCAGTTGGGGGGGGGTCGGGTAACATCGAGAAAACACATGTGGAACCCGTACCCCCCCCAACCCGAAAGTCGGGTCCTCGGGTTGGGTTGGGGTGGTCTGGCAGGTAGTCATGTCGGGCGCCCAAGATCGGGCTCGTGCACCGCGTGCCTCCCGCCGGGCCGTCCGTCGCCTGCCGCTTGGGCCGCCCGTCCAGCAGGCTCCGCCGAGGCGCCCACCGCCTGCCCGCTGGGGCCCGCCTTGGCAGGCGGGGCCAGGGCGGGGAGCCACAGCCAGAGATCCGTCGGGGGCGGCAAAGAGGGGGGTGAGGACCAGGGGGGGGGGGATAGCATGGCGGGGGCCATGATGTTTCCCCAGATCTCATGGCGCCGCCTCTTGCTTCATTGCGTCCCTTGCCCCCCCGCTGGGCCGCGCACATGCACCCCTCTTGGCCGCTCCCGAGTCCGATGCATTAAAAGAATCAAGACGGAGGTTTTTCGCAGTGTTCGGCCTCTATAGGGGCCCTCGCCGGGCCCTGGGACCGACAAGAAACGACTCAGGATGGAGAACCCGTCCTGCAGGGAATGGTCGGGACTTCCGGGGACCGCGCATTGAAAAAATCACGACATAGGATCTCTGGGTGCAGTGGGTGCGCGCACCAAGAAACCGACAGCTGTTCGTCAGGGTACCCTGGGTTTCTTCGCTCCGCGCGCTGCTCGGTGGCTTCCCGTGGCCGTTGAAGGAGCTGCTGCGTTGAGGGTTTGCATCTCGCGACTGCGGGTTTCAGGTCTGGGTTTCTTGCGAGGGCTTCTTGCGGCCGCACCCGCACTGCAGCTTCAGATCAAGGACCCCCCTGGATGAGGAAAAGGTGCCCCATACCCTTACCATTGCATCATTTTCCCCTTCGTGGGCGTCCTTGGAGGCCCTCGTCGCCACCGCTAGATTCGCCTCGAAATCGGTATCGGTGCCTTTTGGTTTTCTAGGCCTCCCGGATGAGGTCCGAGCAGCTGGGATTGGAGGATTGCGCCGCATCGCCGATGCATCGGCGATGCGGCTCGATGTGGAGCCCGAGCTGCTTCACGTTGATGCCGCCGATGCATCACCGATGTATCGGCGATGCGGCGCGATCCTTCGAGCCCATCTACTCAGATCCCATCTAGGAGGCCTCTAGGTAGGTTTCCCCAAGGACAAGGAGCCATGGCTCCGGACCAAGCGCCTCCCCGTGGAGACAGCACCTCGGCAGGTCTTTTTTGGTGTTTTCGGCATCTGGGTGCCCCCGTTGGGCCTCAGACGGGCGTTGTGGAAATATCCTGGCGGGAGTGTTTGTGCTCTCTGCGGCCTCGGGGGGCCCTCGCTGGGCCCCGGGACCGTCAAGAAATGACTCGGGACGAAGAGCTGCTCCCGGGGAGTGGATCGAGACCTCTGAAGGTCCACGTCATTAGCCAATGATGACGTCGCGGGTCTTGGGAGCGTTCCAGAATGCTCTCAGAGCATTCCGGAACGCTCCGACAATGCGCGGCGCCCGACGATTCTTCTGGGACCGCCTTATCTATCTCAGAGTTCCTTAATTCATTCTGGTCTGATTTTTCGGAGGTGCGTAGAGAGAGGGTAAGCCCAAGGTGGGGTTAGGAGGCGAACGCATCTGGATTCTCACGCTTTCTTCTTCCAGGAGCTGGTCCGAGTGATCGGTCTCTGACCCCACTTCGGTCTCTGCCCCGCCTCTACTCAGGAGCGAAAGAAGGACGTACACGTACATGAATCCACGCTGGTTTCGAGAGTACGCATCGCCCGAAAGCTCGTATCACGTGGCCAGTCTCGCAGATCGAGGGGCCGTGTTCATGTACATAGCTGGGCGCGTACGTCCTTTGTGGGCTCCCTATCTACACGCCCCTCGAGTCCTGCCCCTGTCCTGGCCTCGCCTCGCCCCTCCTCCCCGCGGCGTGCTCGCGCAGCGGGCCGGCGCGCCTGGCCGCGAAGCGGGCGGGCCCCGAGGGGCGCGGGCCCTGCCCAGACCTCCAAACGCACTGCACGTGCAGCTCTGCCCGCCGTCCCCCCTCGCGGCACCCCGCGGGGGCCCTCGCCCGGCCCCGGTGGGCGCGCCCACCGGCGGCGAGGGGCGCGCCCTGCCCTCGCCGAGGAGGCACATGCCGGCGGCTCGATGGGCGGCGCGGGCAGGGTTCCTCCTCCTCCTCCTCCGCCTCCTCCTCCTCCTCCTCCTCCTCCTCCTCCTCCTCCTCCTCCCTCCCCCCCTCCTCACCCTCCTCCCCCGCATCCTCCTCCTGCTCCCCTCCTCCTCCTCCTCCTCCTCCTGCTCCTCCTCTTCCTCCTCCTCCTCCTCCTCCTCCTCCTCCTCCTCTTCCTCCGCCTCCTCCTCCTCCGCCTTCTCCTCCTCCTCCTGCTCCTCTTCCTCCTCGAACGCGTGGCGAAGTCCGAGCCCTTACCCCCCTGGCTGGCTCCCCTCGGTGCAGGTGGAGCTGGTGGTTGGTGGGCGCGGGGTTCGGACGCCGCCGCCCGGTTCGGGCAGCGACCCGGGACGAAGAGCCCGGCGCCGAGAGGGGAGCCGAAGCTCGCAGGCTCTGACACGGGGGGCAGTGCAAACGGGGGTCGGCCAGAGCCCAGCGAGCGAAGAACGGTATAAAACAAGTGGCATGCGTGCCCTGGCTCTTGCACTAAGGAGCCGCGAAAGACAGGAGGCTTTCGCCTCCTTCCTCCAGGAGTTTATTTTTGTGGCCGCCGGGGGGAGGACGAACGACGAACGAACGACGACGACGAGCGAAAACACAGCTGCGCAAGATAACAAAGGGTCCAGGGCGAGGGGGACTGGGGCCAGGGCCGGGGGGAGGGGGCTGGGTCCAGGGCCAGGGCCAGCGGGGCAAGGGGGGCAGGGGGCCAGGGCCAGGGGAGGAGACAGGGTCCAGGGCCAGGACCAGAGGGACGACGACAAACGAAAATAAAGGATCCAGAGCGAGGGGAACTGGGGACAGGGCCGGCGGGGGGGAGGCTGGGTCCAGGCCCTGGGCCAGCGGGGCAAGGGGAGCTGGGGCCAGGACCAGGGGGGGAGGTTGGGTCCAGGGTCAGGACCGGACCAGGGACCCAGCGGGGCGAGGGGGGCTCCACGGGGCCAGGACCAGGTGGGGAGGTTGGGTCCAGGGCCAGAGTCGGACCAGGGACGACGAACGAAAACAAAGGGTCCAGCAAT